TTCTCTCATGAGTGTCTTGTAGTTTTCAGAGTGTAAGGTCTCAGTAATACCTTGTTTAAAGGATCAGTATTATCGTGAAGTTGTGCAGAATAAGGTATGCATAGAGTACTATTCATAGTAGTTCAGGGATGCTTTGTAGACATCATGATATGACTGAATTTTGAAAGATAAGTAAGAGTTAGGGCTAGGCAGGGGGGAAGGTTTACAGGCAGGGACTATCAGGAAGGCAGAAGCATGAACTGCAAAACAGCTTGGTATTATTGTAGGCTATTTTCTACGTTGTTCAAGGAGGGAATGACATCTGTTTGATTTTCATTTAAAAAAGAAATCAACAGAACAGTTACTGAAATGTTTCTTTAAAAAAATGGAACTAGAGAATCTGCATATTTTTGCTACTATTGTGAAAATCTTTAAATATTAGAAAAGTTGAAAAAAGTATATTGAATTTGCCAGCGAAGATAATGGTGAAACAGAAGTATTTAATCATCCTTTATTTGCTTCCTCTTTCATGCCTCAAAGTACAACTGTATCCTAAGAGTTTTGCCTTGGTTTTCTCTTTTTCTATATTACTTTTTCTTCCTTTTTTTTGCTAATTTCTTCAGTTGTATGACTTTAACTATAAGCTGAATATGGATAACTCCCAAATTTATCTCCTCAGTTGTGAATTTTCTGCAGAGTATAACTGCTCTATAACTACACCTAGTGGTCCCACTGGCACCCAAGACTGTATTTATTAAAAACAAACACATCTCTCTTAAGTCTGCTTGTAACTGTGTCTCTTACTTGCATTGTCATCTTTCTAGTTAACTGGGTGGGAAATGTTGGCTGTCTGACTAGCTCTCCTTCAATCTCCATATCCAATTATTTTGTCAGATTTAGCTTTTAATTGTTTTAACAATTTTGAGATTGTCAGATTCTCAGTTTTGAAAGCCTTCCATAGTTCCTGTCTGCTTGCTGAAGAAACTCCAAATCCTTACACTGATATTCAGAATCTATCTTGGTCTCTCTCATCCTACCTTTTCATCCTTGCTCCTATTATGCCATAAGGCAGCATTGTTCAGGAACATGTGAACTGGATTATTTATATTCTCTGATTATGCTCATCCCTTTCTACCTTTCTGCCCCATTACCTTGTTTTCTGCCTATTATTCTTCTTTCGAGCTTTCCTTGTTCTAACCTTTCTTCCTTTCAGAGTTTAGCTTGAACAGTGCTGCTCTTATAAAGTGCCCCTTTTCCTTCCACCAAGTAATCTCCTTTGGAATCTGTACAATTTTTTCTTTACATTTGTAGCACCTATCTCATTTTGCCTTGTATTCAGTTCTCTTAATGTTTCCTAGTATCTTCGATATACTATTATGCTATGGAGGGCAAGAATCATAAGTTACTCAGTTTGCCCTCTCACACTTAATAGTATGTACCATGGTAAGTGCTCATTAAATATTTCAGTGAACAAAAGGATAATTAAGTTGTATTTCCCCTCCTTTTTTTGGTTCTCTTCTGGCTTAGCTTTGGTAATGGGATGCCATGGTGATTTACCCTGTTTAACTTATCTCCTGTGTAAAAGTAAATGTCCACCTTAGGATTTTCATCCTAAGTTTCTTGCTATTAGTGGCAGCTGTTGTAGTGTGAAATCTGCCTAGGCTGGTGAGGAATAAAGTTCTTGGTATACTTGTATTATAAATCCATGTCAACTTTGAACATTCCTTTCTCTTCCTCCCACCTTTTTAAACATGAAAGGTTATTATATATTAAAGAAAAGTTAATACTTTACCACTGTAATAAGCATTTCTAGTAGAGATAATTTTAATCATTTGGAAACACTAGTTAATGTAAGGCACTGACAAATAATAGGTATTAATTTTGTGTGGCTTATCGAAGGGCAGGGGAAGGAAGAGGATTTAGAATCATGTTGTGTTCAAAAGACTGACCTCTAACTCTGTGGCAGTCTGTGGTTACCTCAGTTACCTGTGCCTAGCTAAAGCCCCACCTAACTCAGTCTCACACTCACTTGGCGTATATGAGGCTACTTTCAGAGGGGCTTTAGGTGAGAGTAATGACTGTTTTCTTGTCAACTTTGGGTCCTTAGGCAGATCACTGCTCTGGGCTTTGGTTATCTTATCTGAAAAATAAGGATAACAATACTTTTTTTCCTGCTTAAAGAAAGGCCTACTAGCTCTTCTATCAGATGATTATTTTTTGAGACAGTGTAAGGTGGACAGATGGGAGCTCCGATCTAAGTCTACCAGTTACTGGTTGTTGGTCCCTAACAAGTTAACTTCTCAAAATTCTGGTTTCTCTCTCTGCCAAAATGGAGATTAGAAGATCTAATTTATGGGATGTTTATGTGAAAGCGCTTAATCTGTGGTTGGCATCTATTAGGCTCAGAAATGGGAATGTTCCATTTCAGGTCTACTATATATTTCTCAGAATAAGTAAGTGTTGCCTTTTTAAATTGGAGTTTTTACTTCTTGACTTTGTACCTCCCTAGAATTTTGAAGCTTTATTCCTTGGAACTAATATCTGCTGGAGAAAAGTGAACTCTATTCTTCTTTTTTTCAGAATGTCATTTTATAATTAGAGAAGGAGATCTCATTTTGGAAAATGTTGAACCTTATAGTGCAGAGATAGTGCCTTTTGCTTATATTCCCTTTAGAATCTAGCATCGAATCTTCTGTTTATCCCATTATCAATAATCACTTCACTTATGTTTTATTTATACAGATAGTACACATCCTAAATATGACTTCTGCAAAGATAATTTCTTTTCTGTTACCACCTGATGAAAGTCTTCATTCACTGCAGTCTCGTATTGAGCGTGAAACTGGAATAAATACTGGTTCTCAAGAGCTTCTGTCAGAGATGGGAAATTCTCTGGATCCTCGGAAACCAGCCTCTCAGTGTGTTCTAGATGGAGTCGTAAGAGAATTTTAATATACCTAGAGTCTAAGAAATCTGCATTGAAGGATTGCATGCCCTGCATTTTTTGATATATACTGGGAATCTCCTGGTAGATATGAAACATTTGTTGTTTTGAAATTTGAATAACTTTTCTTTGGTGTCAGTTCTCTCTTCTTTTTTCTCCTTTTTGTACTTGAAGCCTAAAACCTTGAAATCAGGTCAGTAGTCTCATAGTTCCTGCCATAGGATAGAGGGATGATAAATATGATTGTGGCCATGACTCTTTTTTTGTTCTTTTATTTACTTTGTTGAGATATATTTTATATATCATATAATTTACACATTTCAAGTGTACAATTCAGTGATTTTTTTTAGCAAATTTACCTAATTGCACAGCCATTGTCATAAATCAGTTTTAAAACATTTCCATCTCAATAAGATCCTTCATGTCCATTAACTGTTAATGTCCATTCTGCCCACCCCAGGCAACTGCTACCTTATTTTCTATTTCTGTCAGTTTGCCTTTTCTGAACATTTCATCTAAATGGAATCATATGATCTGTAGTCTGTAATGTCTTTCTTCTTTCCCTTAACATTATGTTTTTGAGGTTCATTCATGGTCATAGCATCTATCAGTACTTTATTCCTTTTGATTACTGAATAGTGTTCCCATTGTATGGATATCTGTTATTATGACTTTTTGCTTTCATCCTTTTGGGTCTCGTGATTGTTTTTCACTTTAGCCCATAGTACAGTTATTTTTTTATTTTTCCTAAAGTTTAGACCTTAAATCTGTAAGATGTATGCAGTGAATATTGATTTAATTCATTTGCATTTTAAAATAGGAAATCTGGTACTTAAGTCCTTAGAGAACCTGGGATTTTCAAGGGTCTTTTTTTTTTAAATGTTTGTTTCTTTTTCAGAGAGGCTGTGATAGCTATATGGTTTATTTGTTTGATAAAAGTAAAACTGTATATGAAGGACCATTTGCTTCCAGAAGTTTATCTGACTGTGTAAATTATATTGGTAAGTATAGTCCATTTACTGGCTGGGCTTTAAAACTGAAATATGATAATTTTGACTCAACATGATTATTAGAAATGGTCTTTTGGTGTTTTTGTTTTATATCTCATACCTCAGGTTTCTATATGTGGTGAAAAATGGATTTATGTAGTTTGGAAGTTAAAAAAGTAGAGTTTGAATCACCACCAGATCCCTCGTTTGGGGGTAGACTGACTTCCCTCGGATAGGGCTCTCACAGATAGAGGAATGAATCTGTACTATTAATTAAGCCTACTTTTTAGTTGATGCTTCATTATTTCAGCTTGTTCAAATATTTCATTTTATCCTATGAATACTACTTAATGTTCAGATGTTTTCATTTATCTTGTGAGAATTATTCTTCAAAGAAGTTAGTGATCAATTTCTGTCAACCCAAAACTAGAATCAAACACAAAACTGTAAGTAAAGTCTGGAACAAAATTGGGCATAAGAGCTAAAATTATGTAATCTTTCCTCTCTTTACCTTCATATTCTTTTGAGAACAGTTTTAGATTTACAGAAAAATTGGGCAGAGAGTATAGTCTTCTCATATTACTCCCTCTCCCCACATATAGTTTCCTCTGTTATTAACATCTTACCTTAGTATGATATATTTGTTCCAATTAATGAACCAATATAGTATTACTAATTAAAGTCCACACTTTATTCAGATGTCCTTAGTTTTTATCTGGTGTCATTTTTTTTCCAGGATCTCATCCAGGACACCACATTACATTTAGTTACCACGTCTCCTTAGGCTTCTCTTGGCTGTGTCAGTTTCTCACTTTCCCTATTTTGATGACCTTGACACCTTTGGGCAATGCTGATCAAGCATTTTGTAGGATGCCCCTCTATTGCAATTTGTCTGATTTTTTTTTTTGCCATGATTAGTTTAGGATTAGGGGATTTTAAGAGAATGATCACCGAAGTGAAGTGCCATTTTCAGTCATATTATATAAAGGGAATATACGATAACATGATTTTTGACTTTTGGTATTGACCTTAATCACCTGGCTTAAGTAGTGTTTGTCAAGTTTCTCCACTGCACAGTTTAGTATTTTCCCTTCTTTCTCTACTGTACTCTTTGGAAGGAAGTCATTATGCAGACCTAGTCTTAAGAAGTTGGGAGTCATGCTCCCCTTCTTTAGGGTTGAGTGTCTACATAATTTGTTTGGAATTCTGCACATTGGATTTCTCATTTCTCTACCGTTTATTTATACAATCACTTATTATATCAGTATCAGTGTGGATTTTTGTTTTATACTTTGGGTTATAATCCAATACTAGTTTTTCTTTTCAAATTATTGCAGCTTTGGCCATTAGCTCTTTCAGTTAGCTTCTTGTGCTCTTTTACTTGCCCAATCAGTGAAGGGTTTTTGTTTTCTTTTGTTTTGTTTAAGCCCTTTCTTACTTTCTGACACTACAATGCTCCAGGCCCATTTTGTGTATTTCATGCTGTAGTCCTAGAATCCCATTTCTCCAAGGAGCTCTGGTTCCTTTTTCTGGAGAATAGTATTAGAATCCAAGATGTGGACTTTAGGTATGCTGGTTGCTTACTGGAATATCATTTCTTAGGCCCTTTCAGACTTTATTTTTTAAAGTATATGATTTGTTTTGTTTGTTTTGGTCAGGTTCCTTTTTCCTAGACTTCTAAAAAAAGTGTTGAGGTTTTTTGGTTTGGTTTGGTTTGGTTTGGTTTTGGTCTAAGAAGCCTTAGGAGTCTGTGGGCATATAAAAATGGAAGAAAAGTTAATTGAGGCTATTAACTAGGAGAGGAAAAGATTTTTCTAGATACATAGCTTTATTTCTTTTTATTTAGGTCATGTGCTTTCTCAATATGAACCCTGTGTAACTACCTTTCTCTGGAAGGTTTTCACTGGAAAATAACAACAAAGAATAGAATTGCCACCTTAAAGTATAGGTTGAATCTCTTTCAATCTTGGGGAATTTTATAATGTTAAAATGGCATTTCATTGAATTTAATGTATAACTGCCATGGTTTTAGAAAGTAGCATTCTGTTTACCAAAGAGAGGGCAAGAGATAATCATATATAGGTAACTTTGTAAGTCTGGCATTAAAGAAAGCATATCTTATTAAACTGTTATTTACCTTATATATTTTCCTGAAGTTTATTATTCAAAGGCAGGAAAGACTGGTGGATTATGAAGGACATGGGACTTGATTTAGAACTTGAAAGAAATAATTTAAATCAATGGAGAGAAAAAGTATTTCAGGTTGGAGAGAAGCAAGAAAAAAAAAGAAATAATCACAGCTTTTGATTATGTAGTGGTTATGTTTTATTCATTTCTATTTCTCCTTGTATCTGGAACTGGGCTCATGTATTGAAGATGCTCAGGAAATGTATATTGGACTGAATGAGACAGTAACCAGTGGTTCTTTCTAGTATCTATGAGAATTATATTTTTATGGACAGAAAATCATAAGGAATGATAAATGAACTCTAAAATCGTAAAAAGTAACTTCCTTCTCCTTTATCTTCTTATATATAGTACAGGACAGCAAAATACAGCTTCCAATTATACAGCTGCGTAAAGTATGGGCTGAAGCAGTGCACTATGTGTCTGGGCTAAAAGAAGACTACAGCAGGCTCTTTCAGGGACAAAGAGCAGCGATGTAAGTGGATTCTGTTACTGTAGGTGCAGTGTCATGTGCACGAATGCTCAAGAATTAATCTTACTGGTTTTCGCTAAGCAATATTCCATGCAATATAAAAATATTAGGCCAATATGAAATCTAATATTCCGATCAGACTTGGAGAATTCAAACTAATGGTCTGACACCATCAATTGCAATGGCTTGAGAGTAGTTCCTGAATTCTTTAGAGACCAGATTCTAGAAATCAGCTGTTTCTTATAGTTTGATAATAGAAACTTAGGCTTGGGGTCTATGTCAATTTAAGTTTTTATATTTTGTCCAATGTTCCTAAAATTCTAATTTTGTTTTTTTTTGTTATGGTTTAGGTTAAGTCTTCTTAGATATAATGCTAACTTGACAAAAATGAAGAACACTTTGATCTCAGCATCTCAGCAACTGAAAGCTAAATTGGAGTTTTTTCACAAAAGCATTCAGCTTGATTTGGAAAGATACAGTGAGCAGATGACATACGGGATATGTAAGTGTTCAGATGGTATTTGAAAGAAGTGTCTGGTCTCTTGAAGCTACCTGCTGTTTTTCTTTCTTGCCTCATAGACAGTTGTTTCACTTATATTCACTTTAGAACATGAGATGAGTGATACCTCAAGTCATCATAAACCATGTTTGTCTTGAATGTTAGCTCCTTTTTTTTTAAACCTTTTGTTTAGCAACTTCGTATTTTTGATATTTTTGTTTTTCACAACTGGACTAAAATTGCTCAGCTCTGGAAAAATACAAAGTTATTTAAGAATTTGTGATTTTTCAAGTCTCATTTTAAAAATAGGTGCAAAGTTTGTGACTTCTTAGCCAGGGAAGTTGTAAACTACTTACCTTTCTATAAGTAATAATACAAATAATTTCAGGTTTTTGCTTTTTCCCAAACCATCTACTGTGGAGTCTATTGCTTGTTATTGTAACTTAGCCTCCAGTTTTCACATTTTTCACTCAAGAATATCTCTCTACAGTTGTACTGTATATATACAAGGAAATGTAAAAAAAGGGTTAAAATTCAGATAATAAACTGAATGGGTGAGCACCAGCATTTCCTGTTTGTATACTTAAATAAGGTGTATCTCAGAGTAAATTATCAGCAGTATCCAGTTTGGTGAATAAATTTACTAGAGCTGGTTCTATGATTGATGTTTTATTTCTATTTGTGTATTATAGGCATTCAGGTGAAGGGGCAAAACATAATTATTTCATCAAATTATCTTTGAGTTGTCAGTTGTGTATCTTATACAACTGTTAAAAATGAGTAAGGTAGACCAAATGCTGATATTAAAAGATCATTTGGGTCTTTAATTGCAGTGATGTTTCAAGTTGGGGATAAAACCAAAGAAAGAAAAATATGTATAGATGGCCCCACTTGTGAGGGAAAAGGGTATGTATCTCCGTAAAAAATGATTAACAATAAGGTCCCTTAGGGTGAATTAGAGGAAGAGAGTCTTTTCTTTTTATATTCCCTAATAGTGTTTTGATTTAAAAAAAAATCTTGTTCATATGTTAACTTTTTTTTTTTTTAAGAGACAATGATCTGTATTTATTTTCTAGGGCTGCCAAAACAAATTACTATATACTAGGTGCCTTAAAATAACAGAAATTTACCATTTCACAGCTCCAGAGGCCAAAAGTCCAAAATCAAGGTCTTGGGAGGGCCATGATCCCTCTAAAATCTGTGGAGAAGAATCCTTCTTTGCATTTTCCTAGCTCTGGCAGTTTGTCTGCCATCTGGGGCACTCCTTGGCTTGCAGCTGCAGCGCTTCAATCTCTGCCTCTGTTGTCAGATGGAGCTCTCTGCATACATGTGTCTTTTTGCCTCTTCTCTTCTTTAAGGTCACTAGTCATCTGGGTTAAGAGTCCACCCGACTCTAGGATGACCTAATCTTAATTTAACTAATTGCATCTACAATAACCCTATTTCCAAATCAGGTCACATTCTGAGGTACTGAGTTAGGACTTCAATGTTTCTTTTTTGGGAGGACAATTCAACCTGAAACATCATTTTTGATGTTGATATGGCAAAGAGGTGGGTAGGTCAGTAATTAAAGCTATGGCTATTTCTGAAATAACCAATTAAGACTTTTTTTTTAGCCTCAGAAAAAATGTTAAAAGCATGGAAGGAAATGGAAGAAAAGGCTATCCACTATGCTGAGGTAAAATCACTGAGCTCATTTTGTGTGCTTATTAGTTCCTTAGGTCCCCTTAGAAATTGTCTTTAGTTTTGGTAGGTATTTTTCATGGCATTCCTGAATATCAGATAAATAGCTAGTAGGTGCTTTGTATATAGACAGAAGTATCATAGTGGATAAAAACAAAGGCTTTGGGCAAATGAGGGTTAACTGAAGTCTCACTTCAGTTTCCATATTAAGGGTACTATACCTTTGTTAGTAGGGTTATGCAGATTAAATGGGAGTAAATAATAAATGGTAATTATGGCTGTTACTTTTATGACTGTTTTAGATAGGATGTGTGCACATCCTGGTTTACCTGGGACAGTGCCAGTATACCTGTCTTGCCAAAATTAACAATAGAACAACCTTTCAATCTCAAAATTATGCCAGTTTAGACAATAAATTACATGGTCATCCTAGGTAGAGATTATTCTCTAGTTGGCAGATTCCTTCCTTACCAGGTAGATCAGTCCATGGTCCCACTAAATTGTTGCTCTTTTGATGCCAGTCCTTACTCTGAGCACATGGGTGGGGCAGTTGGTATCCTGGAGTGGGAAATTCAGTGTCTTTCTATATTTCTTACTCAAGGTAGTCAGGAACAAGAGACAATGAAAATCACAGCACTGAGATGTAGTAGCTTTGATGGCCACTTTTTCTCTGTCTTGTTAGTGACAAATCTATCTGCTTCTCAGGAGGAGAAGAAAATGCTAGTAGTTTACTGTTGTCAGGAAAGGAAAAAGAGAAACTTAGGAATAAGTATGTTCTCATATGAAATACTTTCTGAATCTGAAAGATGAAAGGCTTGAACAAAGTCAGTATTTCATAATAAATCATACAGTTCTACTGCAGCAGCAAATCATTCTGTCTGAGTTCTCTGTGTTGTGTGGTGGTGAGCCTATCATTTCTTTTGTGTTTCATCATATTTTAGGTGGGGATCATTGGATACCTGGAGGATCAGATCATGTCCCTGCACACTGAAATCATGGAGCTACAGAAGAGCCCCTATGGAAGACGTCAGGGAGACTTGATGGAATCTCTGTAAGGATGTACTCATATTGTTGGTATTGTTATCTGTAATGTTTTTGTAGCAGATTATTCTTTCTCTTTTTTATTGAAGTATAGTTGATATACAATCTTTTATTGGTTTCAAGTACATAGCACAGTAATTCAGCAGTTACCCGTATTATTAAATCCTTACCCCAACTCTGTAGTTATCTTGTCAACATAGGAAGATATTATAGAATCATTGGCTATATTCTTCATGCTGTATTACTATCCCCATAAACATATATTACGATTGAGAATTTTTGTGCCCCTTTATCCCCTTCACCCTCTCTACCCACCCAGCCCAACCCCTCCCTCCCCCATGGTAACCACCTGTCTCTTCCCACTGTCTATGAGTCTACTGCTATTTTGTTCATTTTGTTTTATTTTGTTTATAGATTCCACAAATAAGTGAAATCATATGGTATTTGTCTTTCTTTGCTAGGCTTATCTCACTTAGCGTAATACCATCTAGGTCCATTCATGTTGTTGCACATGACAGAATTTCTTTTCCTTTTTATGGCTGAATAATATCCCATTGTATATATGTACCACATCTTCTTTATCCATTCATCTATTGATGAACATTTTGGTTGCTTCCATATCTTGGCTATTGTAAATAATGTGGCAATAAACCGGTGCGTACTGGGTCCAATTGTATTTCTCTTCTTAGTTTTTTGAGGAGGATCTTCCATACTGCTTTCCACAGTGGCTGTAGCAGTTGACAAGTTGACTGACATTCCCACCAACAGTGTAGGAGTGTTCCCATTTCTCCACATGTTCTCATCAACACTTGTTACTTCTTGTCTTTTGTATAGTGGCCATTCTAACTGGTGTGAGGTGATATCTCATTGTGGTTTTGATTTGCATTTCCCTGATGATTAGTTATGTGGAGCATCTCTTCATGTGCCTGTTGGCCATCTGTATTTCTTCTTTGGAAAATGTCTGTTCAGGTCCTTGCCTATTTTTTAATTGGGTTATTTGTTTTTTGGGTTGAGGCGTATGAATTCTTTATATATTTTGGATGTTAACCCCTTATCAGATGAATCATTTACAAATATATTCTCCCATACTGTAGAGTGCCTTTTCATTTTGCTGATGTTGTCCTTTGCTGTACAGAAACTTTTTAGTTTGATGTAGTCCCACTTGTTCATTTTCTTTTTTTTGTTGTTGTTCTGCTGATGATGTCCTTTGCTGTACAGAAGCTTTTTAGTTTGGTGTAGTCCCACTTGTTCTTTTTTTATTTTGTTTCTTTTGCCCAAGGAGATGTGTCCAGGAAAAAATTGCTCGTGCATATGTTCAAGAGATTTTTGCCAATGTTTTTTTCTTAAGAGTTTTATGGTTTCATGTCTTATATTTAGGTCTTTAACCCATTTTGAGTTTATTTTTGTGTACTGAGTTAGTAATCCAGTTTCATTCTCTTGCATGTAGCTGTCCAGTTTTTTCCTCATTGTTTATTCATGGCTGCTTTATACACAGACATGCATGGGTTTCTATCTCAGCTGTCTGTTCTGTTCCATTGATCTATGGGTCTGTTCTTGTGCCAGTACCGTACTGTTTTGATTGCTGTACTTTGTAGTATAACTTGAAGTCAGGGAGTGTAATCCCTCTACTTTGTTCCTCTTTCTCAGGACTGCTTTGGCTTTTTGGGGTCTTTTGTGGTTCCATATGAATTTTTGGACTGTTTTCTCTAGTTCATTGAAAAGTGCTGTTAGTATTTTGATAGGGATTGCATTGAATCTGTAAATTGCTTTGGGTAGCATGACCATTTTGACAATAATAATTCTTCCTGTCCATGAGCATGGGATCTATTCCCTGGGATCTATTCCAGGAATGGTTGTGATGGATGATCCTTTTGTGTTTTTGAATTCAGTTTGCTAATATTTTGTTGAGGATTTTTGCATGTGTGTTCATCGGGGATATTGGTCTATAATTTTCTTTATTTGTAGTATCTTTGTCTGGTTTTGGTATTTGAGTGATGTTGGCCTCATAGAACGTGTTTGGAAGTATTCCTCCTTTTCTACTTTTTAGCATACTTTAAGAAGGGTGGGTATAGCTCTTCTTTAAATGTTTAGTGGAATTCAGCTGTGAAGCCATCTGGATATGGACTTTTGTTTGTTGGGACCTTTTTGATTACCAATTCCATGTCATTACTGGTAATTGGTCTTTTCAGATTTTGTTTCCTCCTGGGTCAGTCTTGGAAGGTTGTCCTTTTCTAGGAATTTGTCCATTTTTTCTAGGTTGTCCAATTTATTGGCATATAATTTTTCATGGAATTCTGTTTTTGTATTTCTGTGGTGTCAGTTGTGACTACTTTTGTTTCTGATTTTTTGTCCATTTTCTTGATAAATTTGGCTAGGGGTTTGTCTATTTTTTTAATCTTCTTAAACAACCCACTCTTGGTTTCATTGATTTTTTTTCCTATTGTTTATTGTTCTCTATTTTATTTATTTCTGCTCTGATCTTTATTATGTCCCTTCTTGTGCTAACTTTGGGTTTCATTTGTTCTTTTTCTAGTTCCTTTAGTTGTGAATTTAAATAGACTGTTTATTTGGTATTGTTCTTGTTTCTTGAGGTAGGCCTGTATTGCTATGTACTTTCCTCTTAGAACTGTTCTTTTGCAGCATCTCACAAATTTTGAATGGTTGTATTTTTTTTGCATGTCTCCATTTATTGTGTGATTTCTACTTTAATTTGTTCATTGATCCATTGATTATTTAGGAGCATGTTTATTTAGCCTCCATGTCTTTGTAGGTTTTTTGTTTTCTTTGTAGGATTTATTTCTAGTTTCATACCACTGTGGTCTCAGTAGTTGCTTAATACAATTTTAGTCTTTTGGAATTTATTGAGGCTCATTTTGTGGTCTAGTGTGTGATCTATTCCAGAGAACATTCCATGTGCACTTGAGAAGAATGTGTATCCTGCTGCTTTTGGATGGAATGTTCTGTAGATAGATGGGTTAAGTCCATCTGATATGTGTTGTTCAGTGCCTCTGTTTCCTTATTTATTCTCTGTGTGGATGGTCTGTCCATTGATGTAAGTGGTGTGTTAAAGTACCCTAATATGATTGAGTTGCAGTCTGTTTTTCCCTTTAGTTCTGTTAGTATTTGTTTTACATATTTAGGTGTTCCTATGTTGGGTACATAGATATTTATAATTGTTATATCCTCTTGTTGGATGGAACCCTTTATTGTTATGTAACATCTTTCTTTGTCTATTGTTACTGTCTTTGTATTGAAGTCTATTTTGTCTAAGTACTGCTATTTCTGCTTTTTTCTCCCTATTATTTGCGTGAAATATCTTTTTCCATCCTTCACTTTCAGTTTATTTATGTCTTTAGGTCTGAAATGAGTCTCTTGTAAAGCAGCATAGAGAGGGTCTTGTTTCTGTATCCATTCTAGCAGATTGTTTTTACTGTGTACATCTGACAGATTAAACCTATATGGGATCTTTTCTCTAGTTTTCCTTTCCCCAAATGTATTGGTATCCTACTTAAAAAGGAAGTTTTTTCTTAGTCGGAAATTTGGGAAATAACTCTTTGGGTTGACCCTGGCTTTTTTAACCAAAACCAAAGTATCTTTTCATGTGCATGATAAGAGTGTTTCATGTGAGTGCTAAGTTTTTTCAAATATTCTAAGTTACAGACTATTTCCTTACTTACCCTGCTTCTGGTCAAAGGTATTGTCTATTAAATATCCTAAATGAATTAACCTCTAAGTGTCTGGAGTAGACACTTCAGATTGTTTTCTCTAATCACAGGCCATAATTTTTGCCCATTTAAGTGTTTCTGGTACAAGGATTTTGTATATGTGCTGGTAGATGAGAGCAGATGTGAAGTATATTAAACTTTGCATAAGGATCTTGCTTATTACTCAATGAAATGCTATGTAGAATATTTGTTGGTAATATGTACTTGTTTTAAATGAGATCATTATTCAAATAATATTGTTCATTTCAATTTGTGGATTAGTCATTAAGTTATCTTCACCTATAGCAGCGTCTTTTCTTTCTTTGTAGGGAACAGCATGCCATTGATCTATATAAGCAGTTAAAGCACAGACCTTCAGGTAAAAGACTTTTAGTACTCTACACAAAGGCATTTTAGGAAACTATCATTAGTTTAACAAATCAGGGGGTTGGATTCTACACAAGCTGCAGAATAAATTCCAGCTTTGGTTGCCATTGAGATGTTTTGGTACAACAGCATTTAAGTTTGTAAGAATTTAAAAGATTAGACATTCATGGTAACAAGAAAATTGAGATAGAAAATTTTAAAAGGGAAATGAAAGGAAGGAATGAAAGAAAAAAGGAACTCAAAGGGGAGGAGGAAGCAGGAGAACATGGAAAGATGGAAAAAAAATAAGTGCTGCTCAAGATAGAGAGGTTGGAAAGAATTTGATGTTATGGGTCTGGGTGTGGAATGTTCAGAGGGAAGGACCACGTGCTAGGCCAAAGCAGTTTACCTTGAAAATGATGCCTTTATCTACACCTGGTCACTGATTGCTAATTTCATTGATAAAACAATTCCTGTTTAACATCTGCTGAATTCAGAGCATGGTCAGTTAGAAAGAGCACGGAATTGGGAATCAAAAGGCTTGAATTCTCATTTGGGCACTTTACTGACCAAGAACCTAATCTCCCTGTATCTAATTTCCCTTTTTTGCAAAATGGTGTTGAAACGTAGCTTTCCTAACTCTGAGTGTGTGTGGCAATGTATTTTAGAGGATGTTTGTGAAGATGCTTCAAAGACCACTATAAAGTATTATGTACCTACAAGATACTATCCTTCAGTTGATAATTGATTTTGAATGGTTATAGAATGTGCCTTAATTTGCTATATACCTAAGTCGTAAAAAAGAACAACATATAAGTTTATACTTTAAAATTTACAAACATATGCAAATTAAAATACATGTGAAATTGTACTTAATGAATAATGTGATCTCCTCTACATTGGTTTTTATCACAATGGAATTTGTTCAGTTTATTTCAACAAATGTTTATGAGGTACATATAAGATAGGCACCTAACCCTGAATGGGGGAGAGGTCAGGGACTGTTAGAGATTTCCTATAAGAGAGGACATTGAGATGAGCCTTAAAAGATAAGTAGCAGTAGCGAGGTGAAAGGAGGTGGGCTCTTCTGTATATAAATATAATACATAAAGATACACATGTGTAGTACTTAGTGTGTTTGAGGGAATGCAGTGTCACTGGATGTAGAGTTTTAGAATGAAAGATCATAAAGGATCTGTATGTCATGGTAATGAGTTTGGATTTCATGAAGATGGCAAAGAGAAACCCTAAAAAGTTTTAAGCAGGGGAATGACATGATCAGATTGGCATTTTAGAAATGCTGCACTGGTAGCATTGTAGATAATGGGTTAAAGTGTGGCTAGGCTAAAGACAGGGGCATTAGTTACAGGGTCGTTGAAAAAATAATAGCTCAGTAAAAGGTGGCCATTAGCTAAGGCAGAGAGCCAGAAAGCCTGCTCTGTGGTAGTGGGGTGACAAGTAGGGTAAAGGCAAGAGAGATATTTAAGAGGTAGAACTGATAGTGTTGAGTGACAGATTGAATATGGGTGGCTGGAGATGGAGTAGGGAGTCATGGATGCGTCCCAAGTTTCTGGCTGGGACAGCTAGGTGCACGTAGATCACTCACCATAATAGGAAGTATAAGGGTGACAGACTTCATGGGAGAGGAAGATAAGTCTGTTTTTGTACATGTTGGTGTTAAGCTGTTAGTGGACATTCAAGTAGATAAATCTATTAAGTAGCATTAGATAATTAGATGTATCTATGTATGTGTATATAACTGCACAAATACATACATATGCACATATATATACATGCATATATACACACATACATACATATGTATATGGATTTAACAGAGAAGTCCAGGCTAGTATTTATCTATTTGAGAGTAATCAGCCATAGGAATAAAGTGATCATCCTGAAAAAGTATGTTGAGTAAGAAAGCCAAAGATAGAATCCTGGGGAATACCAACATTCAAGGAATGGCTAGAAGCAGAAGAGCCTGCAAAGCAGATTGAGAAATGGTCAGAATATGTAGAGGGAATGATATGATAGTAACAGGACAGAGTTTCAAGAAGAAAATGAGCAATGAAGTGCTACTGAGGGGTGGTAGTAAAAGTAATAATGAAAATATTCATTGAATTTAGCAGTTTGGACATCATTGTTGATCTCGGCAAAAATATAATGGCCTTTTGGGACCATAAACCAGATGGTAGTGGATTGAGGAGGGAATGGGACAAGAGGAAATGGAGATGTCAGTCTAGAGCAGCAGTTCTCAACTTGTGGTTCATGAACCCCTGAGGATCCCTGAAACATTTCAGGAAGTCAGTGAGGTCAAAACTTATATAATACTGTGTCACTATTTGCCTATTTCACTGTGTTGAGACTTTCACTGATGCTGCAAAATGATTGGTGGGTAAACAGTTTGCATCTTAGCATAAACCAAGGCTGCTAGCACTAAACTATGCTAGTAATCATTACATTTTTAACCACCATACGTTCGCATTCATAGTTAAAAAAAAAAAATGCCAGTTTCATTTAAGAGGGTCCTAGATAAAGCAGTAAAAATTTTATTTAAATCTCCACCTTAGTACATATCTTTTAATATTCTAATTAAAAGTCAATATCTGTTAATAGTGTGATAAAGTGGGTCACACTCATAACGTGCTTCTGCTGCATACTGAGTCTGATGGCTCTCTTAAGGAAACCATGTCAGCATTTGTTTACAGGGCTTGGTGACTGGTGTCTTCCTTAACGGAACATCATTTTTATTTGAAAGAATGACTGTCAGACCAACTGTTCATTCAGATGTGGGCATGTGGCATATTTTTTCTCAAAAATTAATGAAGCATGCCTGTCACTGAGAAAAACCAACATTAGTTGTCAGTGATAAGATTCCTTGTTTCAAGCAAAAAATTAGGATTAGGAAAATTTGTATCCATCAGCTGAAATTTGTCAGCTTCTCAGTACTTAAAGACTTTGTGATGAGATTGGTAGTAATATTAAAAAGATTTTCAAAAATATAAAACTGATAGTTTTCTTAAAATTTTTTTGTTTTGGAAAATATATATATTTTTAAATATGTCAATAGGTAGTGAGTTTGTTGTTTTTAAATAAGTATTTTTAAATTTCTCAGTTTAACTTCCTGAAAAACACTTGGATTCTTAAGAATTTTTTAGAGTAAAGGGGTCAGTACCTTTGAGAACTGCTTATCTAGGCTATTCTTTCTAGAAGCTTGGCTGTTAAGGAAAGAACAGTGATAAGCTTCTAGGAGGAGATGTTAAATCAAGGGAAGTCAACTTTCAAAGGGAAAAGGTGGGCAAATTTATGTGCTTAGGGCCGAACACCTGTAGAGAGGTTGGTCCATCAACAAGTTTGAGAGGCTGACTTCAGAAACTAATGGGAAGAATTAGGCTTGCTGCCTCTGGTATTAGAGGGAGAATGGGAGGGATACAGACACTTTTGTGGGTGAAGGGATTGGGAGGTAAGGGTTTTACTGCCGTAAGGTCTCCTATCTTGAAGTAACTAGTATGGGGTTAACTGTTAACAGAAGTGATGGGGTTAATGGAAAAGGTGATGACCTCATAGATATAAAGAGTATGCTAGAGATTTTTAAAAGCTGGTATGTGCATTGGAAGATGCTGCTTACCCAGAACACTTATTAAGAATCCAGAGCAGAAGTGAAAACCTGAGAATACAAGAGAAGGAATAGTAGTGTGATTTTCTGACTGGTAGTTTTGTAGCTTGGATACAGGAACCTGATAGAGCAGATGGTTAGACTGATCCAGGGTTAGGATTTGGTGATAGGAAAAGAGGACAGAAAAGTTGAAGATACTGACCAAAAGTGATGTGATAGAAGCTGTGGTTAGAGTAAAATATTGAAATATAAGATTTCAGATACAGCCAAGTCTAATTCTTTTTTTTTTTCCCTTAATCAATATTCATTATTTCCAGTCTTCTGGCCAATGAATCAGATAATTGCAGATGAAGATATATAAAATTCCACGTATTGACTCAAATTAATTTACACAGTGACCACATTTGTTTGGATTACTTTTATAACAACTTCACAGTAGCCCTCTTAGCATATCAGCACATCAGAGGGCTGAAAATAAATTTGCTAACCCAGTAGCTTCTTTGAACTGATAGTCACCTTGAATGACAAATGAGTTGTAACAAAGGTTTTGTCATTGTTGGGGTTATATAATCACACTTGATGTATGGTCTCTGGTATCTTTTCTAGCTTAGAGTCGACTTGAGAATCTTGTTCAGCTGAAAATGGTGAAAACCAGCTTTCTTCATTCTTTATGTTGGAGAAGGTTACAGTTCTGAGGTTTTTGACCATCTAAAAGAGCTAGTTATATGGGAAAGCTATTGGGCCTAGTCTATGGGATTTAGGAAGGAATACTGTTTGGAGAGTAGTCTTTTTGGAGCTTCTGTCTGGTTGTTGGTTAGGGAGAGACAAAGAAATGTATGGGGAATAAAGTTGAGTTATAGGGGAGGTCTTTGCAATGATAACAAAGGACACAACTTTTTAAAAACCTCTTTTGATACTCATTTCATCATCAAATGTGAGCAACAATAGCCATCTCAGGGCTCACATGAGGGTTAAATGAGAAAAATGTTAAGCAGGTAATAATAATAATAATAATACTTTTGTATTTGAGGCTAATTATCATCCAAGAAAATACCAGTATGATCCATGAGCAGCCTTCCAACTTTTTAAAACTTAGACATTTTCTGAAATATAACACTTAATGCTAATTGGTTTTTTGGTTTGTTTTGATGTAGCATCTCCTATAAACTATAGAACTCACTCATTGTGACCATACAACCATCCCATCCGAGGACATTGTCAGCTGCCAGTTTGCTTTAAGATGTCCTACTACTCTCCAACTGAATTTTCGGGGTGTCTATAGGTTATTTTATTAGTGCATCAGATCTGGCTGCAATATGTCAGCTTTTCCGAAAGTTTTCATGTGCTGTAAACAAATGGTTATGAAACATGAAATTCTAAGCAACCTAGTTGGGGCAAAGGCCTTCTTCCTTTGAAGCAGTGAAAGTCTGATGAATTATCCTACTGTTTCTAAATAAATGATGTTAATCATCTAAGAAAAATCAGTTTCTTGGCCAAAAAGCTGTGTATCTGTCTGGAATTTGTGTTAGTATGGGTTAAAGATAGCCAAGACTGGCAACTGAGGTCTTTGAAGATAGTGATAAATTTATATGTATATATACATATCTATATATAAACACACATACTTTGTTTATATATACACACACATATAATTATTCACAGATATTATATAATCTTAAAATCTTTCATTTTAATCCAGTTTTGAGTTTAAGTGAAATTTAATGTGTATTAATTAAAACTAGTTTCAGATTTTTAGGCATTTTTTGTTTGGAGGCTGATATGTACATGCTGAAGAGAGGTTGTACCCACTGACTGAGATCTTTTATAGATCACTCCTACAGCGACAGCACAGAAATGGTGAAGATCATTGTGCATACAGTGCAGAGTCAGGACCGGGTTCTCAAGGAGCTGTTTGGTCATCTGAGGTAGAAAAATTGTTTTATTTCCTATTGAAAAGCCAGTATATTTTTATCATGTTCCCTTCAAAGTATAATACCCTTTCTGGTAATAGTACTAGACCCAGGAAGAGTTTTCTGGCAGTACTTTGTGTAGTTTGACCATAGGGCATTTAGGTGTCTATCCTCTTTGTGTGCACCTCTTTGGAGATCAATCATTAAATTTGATGCTGATTATGGCTCATTTCCCCAGTTGGGTTTAGGAGTATGGTATATAGTCTTGGGGGATATTTAAGTGTCTGACATTGATTTTATCTCTCTAGCAAGTTGTTGGGCTGTAAGCAGAAGATTATTGATCTACTGCCCAAGGTGGAAATGGCCCTCAGTAACATCAAAGAAGCTGACAGTACTGTCATGTTTATGCAAGGCAAGAGGCAGAAAGAAATATGGCATCTCCTTAAAATTGCTTGTGTAAGTAACTTTTAACGAATTATTTAATGTGACATGATTTGCGGCTATTTCCTGCAAAAGTGATCTGTAGCAGCATGATCTAGGTCATGCTTGAAGACGTGTATATTTTGAGTTGGGTTGATGTTTATGTTCTTTGCTTGGTGTCTGTCTAGCAATTCAGATGCAGAAGTTCATGATCACCCTTCATTATCTTTCCAGTCTCCTGTTTTTATAATTCTCCCAGCCTGATTTGGGGATAGGTGTGCTTAACTAGTTAATAAAACCAACCTTTTGTTCAACTGGTGGTCTTTTTCTCCAATTAAAGTGGAATTAAGAGGGATAGATACATTTGGTTTTAGTCAATGAAGAAAGGGGTTAAGGGCAGATGGTGGTGTGTAGAGGTGGGGATAATTTTGCATAGGAATACTCTGGTTGTGCATATAAGGAGTGATAGAAATTTAAGTCTTAGAACTATGGTAGGAAATTATATGAATCAATGAAGGTGCTTGCCTGTAATCTTTCTATTTTTTTTATCCTTCAGACACAGAGTTCTGCCCGCTCCCTTGTAGGATCCAGTTTAGAAGGTGCAGTAACCCCTCAGGCATCGGCATGGCTGCCCCCAACTTCAGCAGAACGTGAACATACTCTGCCATGCGTGGTAACTCCTCAAGATGGGTGGGTTCACTTTGTAACAATAGATAGTTGTATTTTCCAGAGCAGTGGTAGGAATGAGGCAGTAGAGCATAGTGGTTAAGGCATATAGTCTTCACTGCCTTAAAGACCAGGGCTGAGTCCTGACCCTTCCTTTCTAATAACCTTGCACTGTTAACTTGACTCTTAATGCTCACATTTCCTTACCTATAAAATGGAACTGCTATGCAAATTCAGTTAGATAATGCATGTAGAATGATTGGTAAGTAAATTTAAGCAAATGTTACTTTTTATTACCTCAATCAAAGTTTTAAGGTCTTTCTCTGCTAGTGGCTTATCAGTTCTTTCATCCAAACTTTATTCCTTCCTTAATCATTTATCTCTGAGAAATTATGCTATCTTCTTGCATTTATCATTTTGGGGTCCTTGATTACCCTTCAATTGAATTATTGAGTTTACTCTATGTTGTAATTTAGTGTTTCTAAAATCATACTTTTTTCAGTGCCTTAAATCAGTTTTGTAAATAAGAACTCAAGTTTGAAGCCCTGTATTTTCCTACTCTTTTGCTAAAAGCTGAATGACTATCCATTTCTGTTATTTTTCTCAGCATAAGATGTGCCGTATCCAGAGCCAGTGGCTCTTTGCTAGCTTGTGTTTGTCGCTTTTCTCACAACTCATGGAGACTTCTACAGCACCAGCATTTCCTGGAAGCTCTGCCCATAATTAGTTTTTCAGAAATGCAGCCATGTTGCATCACTGCTCAGGAGGTCATGCAGTTGCACATTCTGTACTCTACTTTAATGAGAGAAAAGCACATGGCAGGAAGGCAAGCTGATATCAGGTATTTTATTTTTTTAAAGAAAGCAAGTTCCACGGTATATCTTGGGGTCATTAAAGATTTGGCCCAATGTAATAGGTCCACAGCTATAGCACAGGCTATAATTAATTATATAGACTTTAGGAAATAGTCCATTAATCAGTTTAAACAAGATTTAATACATTAGTAACCTTTTTGTTTTTATTAAAGGCATTTAGATTTATTAGGGGATGCTAATGGTTGCAAATGTCACTTCTGTACAGGTAATTTGCAATTTGAGGTTGTGGTTGTGTGCAAAAGTGTATCTAATAGGAATTTTATATATATTTTCCAGTAGGACTACATTATAAAGGAAAACTAATTTCAGTTATTATGTACCCGTGGTACTTAACCACCAAGAATTAGGAAATGTTGACCTTAGTTTTTCCATCTGTTGAATAAGAGCTGAATTAATTTAGGTCTAAGCTAATAGTGGCTATCATCCATGGCCTAGAATTTACTCTAGTAGGGTAGGGACTGAGGGCTGGTAAAAAGTAAGAATATAGAGACCATCTGGAGGAGGGACGCATGGAGGACAGAAACCAGAATCAGGATTTCCTTCAGATATAAATACTTTTTGGTTCTGGGCAGCTCCCGTCACACAGTTTTTTTCTGCAATCCTCAGTAATCGGCTTGCTTGTTTTCTTTTGTATTGCTGTCATCTGTAGTTTCCAACTAGAGTTTTCCCTGATCTTTGCACAACATACTATACTTTTGTATCTCCTCCCCTACATTTGTGTCTCGAAAGTAAGCATGCTAATGTTTCACTACTTTTAAGCAAAGGGAAATATTCCAGGGGAAAAAAAGATCTTTCATCTATGTGTGCCACAAGGATTCCCCCACCCCACCCAACTATTAGCATTTTCAGAGGGAAAAGGGTTGTATATAGTGACATTTGTATTTCAGAGGAAAATCAGACGGAGTTTTAGTGGGCTTTTTATCATTAGAGCTGAGCAGAGGCAACAGCTTGGAGTAAATAAGCAGGACTCTGCCTCTGGGTGTGAGGGACGAGGAAATGGAAGACTACAGGAATCAGCTACCTTGGGCTTCTGGGCTGCAGGAAGGCAGTGACCATCCTGACCCTGAAGGCCAAAAAGTAGATGAAATTCATATGCTTCTCCGCTGAATATGAAGACTTTGTTTTTTCATCCCTCAGGGAGACTTTAGCACAAATGATAGAAGAAAATTTGAACTGTCTTGGCCATTTAAGCACTATTATTCATGAAGCAAATGAGGAACAGGGCAGTAGTATGATGGTAAGTTTTATATGGATATAGGTGTCTGTTTTAGGGATATGGGATGTGAAGGGTTTAACTGATCTACTACCTTTATCTGGCATTTGGGATGTGTATAAGGAATAGATTTCAGAGGAAAGAGAAATGGCATTTTAGAAATAACTTTGACCTCAAATCCCCATCTTCTCCTTCTCTTGGGTGTACTAGGATTATGTTGTCAGTAATCTTCAACATGCAATCTACTGCATTTGTGATCAAATTAACAGTTGAGCTTTCTTTGCAATGCCATCACTGAAATGAATGGTTTGCATCTTTTTGCTTTAGCATATAATTTTCTTCAGTAAGGTGGAGCAGGATTTGTACTGTAAGTCAAATACAGTAACTGCTATGTGCAAAACGAACAACATTGCTATAGTTATAATTAATAGAATATAATAGAATTAATTTTATTAAGATTTGCTTACTGTGAATTATTGATTATTGGAGAAACTAGTGTTTACTGTAACTTTTACTACATTTACTCTCAATGTCAACTCCGTATTTCCTCTTTCATTAATTGATTGCTTCAAATATTTATGAAAACTCTGGAATTTTTTTAATTAGCAGAAAATAAGGAAAACTAAACTAATTGTAGTTTATTTATACTTCTGATTTTCAACTTTTGATTAGCAAATGTCCAAACATACAGAAAACACCACATACTTACCACTTACAGTCAACATCTAATTGTAATTTTTTCATGCTTTCTTTTAGAATCTTGATTGGAGTTGGTTAACAGAATGACTTGCCACTTTTTTACTGTCCCCAAGTTGAAGTTGTCACTGCAGATGCTGGAAATTCTTCTCTCATGAAATTACTGTTCAGACATCAGACAGTGGAAAAAATGGCTATGGTTAAAAACTACGCATGATTTTACAAGCACAATATTTTGACTTTGGATAAATTTACCCCTTGAACAGGTAGAAGTTTGTGTCAGTGACTTGCTTAAGTACATCATTGCATTGTTTGTCTTCAGACTTGCTACAACATTATTAATTTAACTGACTAAAAATATCTTTTTTTAACATTTAACTTGGGTATAAGGACAAAACTAATATATATACAAAGAGTAAAAAAACCTAAACTAACGTGATCTAAGTCATCTGCCTGTGTTTCTGTGGAAGAGACTGCTCACAAGTAAAATTGTACTTCTTAAAGAGTAAACCCTACCTCCTTGTATTGCATTCAACAGTGCTCTTCCTTGCCCACAAGGAAGGGATTGTGCATCTGTGCCTTTATTATCAGTTGGCTAACAAATCTTATGTGTGCTATGTGTATATGTATTTAAGATGTACATTTAATAATATGAGATGATGCTTGTTAATTTATAATGTATTTGAAAGCTTATCTGTTTTTTCATTTGTAAAAATGAATAATTTGTTTAAGGAGTCTTTCATGTCTTGTCATACAAATTTATAAAAGTCTACACTCCCTTATCTGTAATTCTAAAATCCAAAAAGCTCTGAAAACAAGGTTTTTCATAAGATTGGTGACAAAACTCATTTGCTTGCAAATCTAACCTGAACTGATACTCAATCTACTTATTCCATTAGTGTGAATATTCATTTATTTTGCCGCAGAAATATTGTATTTTAATTTTTTTTGTTGGGTGGTTGTGCAGTGGATGCTGGCGCAGGCACTGCTGGGGGTTTATGTAGTATGGTATATGCACTGAATTACCTTTTTAAAATCTGAAAATTTTTTAATTTGGAAACATCTGGCCTTAAGGGTTCCAGATAAAGGACTGTGGATCTCCCATCTTTTAAGTCATTTAGAAGGTATTGTTTTTAAAAAATGTGAAATGCTTTTGTATTCTAGACAGTTTTTCACTTTGTGTATTAAATGATTTTTAAGTTACTTTTTGAACCTCTATTTATTAAAATCAGATTATAATAGAATAGTTGAATATGGTTTGGGAAAATGTGAAGATTCCATGAAGTGGAATTGGAGCACAGAAAAATAATGGGCTTTCACTGTATTTTCTTTAGGAATTAAACAGGACTTACGGAAACTACAATATTGGGTAGCTTCTTTAATATAGTCTTTTCTCCTTAGATTTCCTATCACCACTATCCATATCTAAAAACCATGCTCATATCTTGACATATAAACTGATGCCTTAGTCACACCATCCCCATTTTTTGCTAATAAGCTTCATTTTTCCCAGTCATTGTAGTTTGAAACCTTGGGATTCTCTTAACTTTTTAGTCATCTGATACCACTGTTTCTCTAAATATGTAAATTCTGTCAGCTGTTCTATAGGCAGTCTTTCTCTTGCTTCTTTAGTTCTAGAAGATTTAATAGGAAATATTTATTGGGTACCTGTTGCTTGGAAGATAATTGATCTAGATGGCAAGATCAGAAACAGGTAACAGGCAGTACAGTAAGAATGCTTACTTGGGAGTCTGAACATTGCAAGCCATCCATGCATTGAAATTATTGTTAAAGGTACTTTTTAAATGATCATGCATTTTCTAGATTTCCTTGTAATAAACGATAAAGTATCTGTTACAGAGTCGGGCCATTTTTATGGTATGTGGCTGGCATGAATTCAGGGTAGCCTAATCTACAAGATATGAGCAGATGGTGTGAGTCAGACTATTAGTGAGATCACCCCAGATTTGCTTTTGGTGCATTAGTTCACCACTCAATTTTTGGGTGGGTGATAATTTTGCAGAGTTGAACGGCGGTTGTGAATTGTATACATTTCATTTTCTAATTAAAGCAATATTATAAAGACTAAGAGAGTCCTCCAGAAAACGGGCTGGAACAGGTAATTTTTCACTTTTTGCTTTTTGGAAGGTAAAATAGCTAAGCCTGCAAATATTATTTATCTGGAACAATGTCCCAGACATTCCTAGGTAATAAATGTCGAATGAATGACACAGGTAAGTGCATTTGTTGAAGGCAAAGGGTAGAGTGGTCTGGGAGGCCTTGCTTTAATTGATTCTATTATTCCTTCCCATTGTAACCTTGGGCCTGCAATTTCATAACCACTGGTCTTCCCTGCCTCCAATTTGTTTCCATTATAGACCATTTTGCATACTCACTGGCTTTCCTAAAGGACTGCTTTCTCATACTTTTCAGCCCAAGAGGTTACAAAGCCTACAAGTCTAGCCTACCTTGTCCAGTTGTGGTCTCACTGTTAGCCTTTCAAGGCTTAAACCATTACTGTCCAACCTCTAATAAGTTGCCTGTACTTCCCTTGTCATCCATCACACTCCCATCTTTACTGTCCTTTTTGTTTTGAAAAAGACAGAACTCTTTCTGTTCTCCTCCAGCCATCCAGTTCTCCCTTCTTGCGGCTACTTGCCTTCGAAGCTTTGGAAATCGGGGTCGAGCCAGGCCTAGCTTCCCACTCCTTTACATTACGCTGGCTTCAAGGAAACTCAAATGGCCACTGTTGCTTTTAGTCTTCCTGGAGGATCCGCCATCCCCGCCCGCACCAACACAGACACAAGCACACGTTAAGGGTTTAGCTCATTCTGTGCCTCGCTATTGCTTGGAAAGCTTTCTTGAAGCCCTCACTGGATCAGCATTCCGACACGTTAATAGGTGCTCAGAAAAATAGACAAGTGAATGTTGTGGTTGGACAGGATATCTGCCTCTTCTGAACTTCCACAGCACTTTACTTGCAACAAATCTGGTTACTCCTGAATTCAGGGCCGGGTCCGTGTCTGAAGCACATGTTGCCACACCGCAGAGTTCCGTATAAACCACAAAAACGCAAACGCAAGTTACCGCACTGAGAGAGTGGGTCTATCTATGCACAAGAACTGCCCACTTCCTTGTCCCGGAGGCCCACTCCCTTCGTCTGCATCCCTCCTGACCCGAGACTCCCCACTTCCCTTCCCTTCCGGAGTTAGGAAGCCAGCAGGGCGCAGAGTGGTGCCCACGTTACCTCAAGCTTGACACTGCAAGGCGGGATGCTGGGAGAATTTTGTCCCGTCCGCTGCCCGTCTCTCTAGGAGAGCGGCGAGCGCTGCGTCGGCGTGCGTGCCCGCGCAGCCGCATTGCCAGGCGAGTGGGCGGGGCCGGCGGTTGGCGATCGGCGCGGCCCGGGAGGCGGCTGCACGTGCGGGTGGGGACGATGCGTCACTGATCGGTGAGGCGCGGCCGAGGGGTCGGTCTACCTTCGAAGTGCGCGGCTAGCCGCTTTTTCAGTTAGTACCTTACGCCGCGGGGAAGGGCCGTTGGGAGGGGTGGGGAGTCCCGACGCCTTCCGAGCCGGGGTGGCCCGTGCGTCGCCTGAGGCGGAGAGGTTGGAGAAGGGGGAAGCGGGCTCGGCGAGGAGGAAACACCGCGGGAAAAGGGGCACAGGACTTCCTGGCCCGGCCTGCGGGAGGACGCCAAGTCTTCCGAAGAGGAGGTGGAAACTGGAGGGGGTGGGCCTGTCACCCACGGGGCCGGGGGTCCTTTCCTCCCTCCTCTAGGAGGAACGAGGATGAATATGACTCAAGCCCGAGTTCTGGTGGCTGCAGTGGTGGGTCTGGTGGTTATCCTGCTTTACGCCTCCATCCACAAGATCGAGGAAGGACATCTGGCTGTGTACTACAGGTGAGCGGTGTGTGCAGTCAGCGCAGGTTCTAGAGCAGGTAGGAAAGGACCTAGGAGTGGAGTCTAGAACTTTGTTCCCTTTGCAGCGTCTGGGGGAGCCCTTTTTTTTCCCTCGGAACTGATGTTCATCCCAGGCCTGGAGAGTATGGGGACCCAGGCAGGCTTTTGCAAAGCACCTCCAGGTGTTGGATAGTTTTAGTGCCCCGTACATTTTGCACATAGGTTAATTAAGACTGCAGTTCTTAGTGGACAGCAAACTCAGTTCTTTGTATAAAGAGTTCAGATAGAGGGCCGTGTTCATTCCACTGTAAGTGGAGAGACAAATCGTTATGTCCAGTATAACTGCACAGGCTTTTAGTTTGCAGCTATAGATGTTATTTAAAAACTCTGGTCCTGTTTGTGGAATTTTCTTTTTAAGTCCCTAGTGTCTGGTTTTGGCTTTTATAAGGCTGTGATGACAATGACTGTAGTTGTTACGTACCTGGGCCTCAACAAACACAGCATTGATGGCTACCCTCCTCCAATTTTACCTTTCTTTTCAAGTTGAGGAAAGGGATGGTGTGGAACGTGTTGCTCTCTAGTTGAACTTGAGTAGCTTTTCCTTCAGAGAAGTTACCACAGGTTCCTTTTGATACAGAGACTAATTTGGAGAAATTAAAATAATGATGTGTTTGAAAGAGCTTCAACTTATTGCTTGTTTCCATCATCCCTCTTAAATAATATTTCTACTTTGAGATTTTCCTGAGTTTTAGAAACAGTCTCCCTGTGAAGTGCTAGTTTCAAATACAATTTTAGTGACATGTCCAGAGATCTAGCATTAAAAAAGGAAAGATTAGTCTATATTTCCATCTAGTTGAGTATTGTGTTCCTGACATCAAAACAAAGGAAAAAACATTTCAGGGTACAGCTCTTGACGAATGAGGGATGGACCTCAAACAGTTCATCTTCTCTTAATTAATTGTCATGAATTCTTTGGAAGTGTATTATATTTTCCAGATAGGAAGCTAGGTTTTATGAATTTAATATTCACTATGTAAACCAGGACTTCTTTTGTATGTTTGCTTATTTTTAAATATTTCCAAAATGTGCTTTCTTATTTCTTACATTTCAGAATTTGGTTAATAAGTCCACACTTGTATCCTACCTGTTAATAGCCTTATCTCTTCACCTTTCATCTTTCCATGCTAATTTTTTTATAGACTTTGTGCCCCCAGTACTTTAAGTGCTTTGTAGGTAGATAAAATCTCAAGCCTTAGAAGTTTTCTCCTTTCTTGAAAGTTTGTGTTACCATCTTTATTCAACCTGATGATTAAATATATTGTGTTTTGATCTGGCTCATGTTATGTACAATTAAAGTACAGCAACTGAGAGCCGTAAGAATTTTTTTCACAAGTATTTCTCAGAAGGTTAATAACCAAGGAGAATCCTTTGTACCTGAGAGCAATGCTGGAGACCCAGAGGTATGGTTGGTGGAGCTTATGAAATAAGGTGTAACAGCAGCAGTTTAATTGATCTTTTCACTTTTTTAGGTGTGGCAGATATTTTGGGGATCAGCAGTTGTTCATCCTGAGTAACTCTTATTAGGGAGACTTTAGTATGTCAGTAACATGAGTAGGAGTGAATATTTATCATAGAATTTTCAATTTGGAAAGGAATTTCTCTCTATAATCTTGTCATATTGAAACATCTTTCTGCAGGGGAGGAGCTTTACTAACTAGCCCCAGTGGACCAGGCTATCATATCATGTTGCCTTTCATTACTACGTTCAGATCTGTGCAGGTGAGTGATTCCTAGGGAAGCCCACACACTGGATAGACAGGTGTGACAGGAACATGGGTGGAGATGGAGTTCCTCATTGCTTAAGCAAAGGAGAGTATTTATTTAAATATAGGAGTTAAAGTTCAGAGTACAGTTGTCACAGCACAAGTTATGATTTGAACAAACTCACTCTCTTGAAGTGTATTAGAAGTATGAGGTAGGCAGCTTGGAAGGGCTGACTTCTAAGTTGTGGTATGCAACAGTTTTTCTGTTGCTCCTTTCAGAATAAAAGTGGACTTTGAAACACAACTAGACAGACAAACCAGTGATTACTTGGTTTAGAACGGTATTCAATTTCCATAGAGGCAAGTTCCTGGGCTACTTTTAACATGGAGGATCTGTATTTTTATACATACATTTTGTATTTTCACACATCTGATTGACATAGCTGAAGTTTTCTGCCTCACATTTTTGCATGGCACATTAAGCACGATTTTATGTGGAGCCTTAGTAAATGTTATATTTTGAAAACATCCCAGAATATTTGAAATGAGCATCTGGACATTGAAAACAGTGTCTTGACCCTGGGAGACACTTAATAAATACCTTTTGACAAAGTGGGATGAGATTGTGACTACTGCTGCAAGTTCAGTGTGATCATAAATCTTTGGATTCAGAAGTTTGCTGCTAATTTTTGTGGACTCAGGAAAATTCCACGTATTTAATCTTATAATTAAAGTCTAGGCTTCCTTGTAAGTGAGAGTTTCATTATGAATAACTTAAGTCCTCCAGGTTTCCTTCCAGTTCTCTTTTAGATGGCGTTAAGGCAAGAATGTTGTCTGTTAAAGTGAAATGTAGCTTTCCCTAGTCAGACTGATTGCCATATTGTCTTCCCATATTTATTTTATTCATTCTTGCCTTGGTTCATGCTGTCATCTCTTCTCTCACCACCTCTCTCTTCATTCTTTCTTTCCTGTCTTAAGTCTTGCCAGCCTTTTTAAGGCTCATTGCAAATCCCTCTTCTCATCTATAGCTCTTAAAGTCTGTATTGTAAATTTGGCCCTTTATCTTATTACATTTAATAATGTTGCCTTGTAGTGTTCTCTAAGTTTTTCATGTGTATTTTCTTTCCAGAAAGTCTCCAGGCTTCTTGAAGGTAGTAGTTGTAAAATATTTATATTTCTGACCTTTGTACTTCTGGCGAATGTTGTTAAATTGAGCTGATCTCAGAAAACAGTATGTGTAGTGAACATGGGGTCAGAAACCTGAAGACTTAGGTTCTGGCTCCAACTCTGACACCAGTTGGTTACATGACTTTGCAAAAATAATTGAACTGTTGTAGACTTGTTACTCCTCCGTGAAAGAAGGGGTTTTAATTATATGACCTCATCAACAGCCCAATCTGTAATAATGTTAGTAGTGGCATCCTCAGATCATTAGAGATCTGGGACTTTTTTAGGTCTTGTTCAAAGCCAAGGCAAATCTGTCTCTGATTTCTTGGAGCTTAGTATTTTGAGTCATACTGATGCAGAGATATATCAAAGAGATAGAGATTATAAATAGATTTGAGAGTTTAATTGTGTATATAACATATACAATGAGTATGTAAACATACACATATATAGTAATAAACTATCAACTTAGAACTGAAAATTAAAAGGATTTCAGCATAAACTAATATACTTTGAATCTGCAAAGTAATGCTGGAACCAGCGTAACTATATAAGAATGTTCTTTTTTGTATGTGGAACAGTAGTATTCTAGGAAAGAATTATATTAATAAAACTTGAAGAAATTGCTCTTATGAGACATTAATTTTTAGAAATTTTTGGAAAATGTTAGAAGGCACAGTCTATATAAACAAATGATTTAACAAACTTGGCAATTGAAAGGAATATATATGAAGCATCTTGGGAAAAGTGAGATCCCATATATGATGTAAGAAGAAAACTATAGAGAAATATGAAAATATTCAGCTTTTAAAGGATATATACATAACCAAAGAATTTTAAAAGAAGTACCCATACTGGGAAAATAATTTTTGAGATAATGTAGCAGAAGTATAAAAGTACGTGAAGATAGGATGTTAACATGCAGACTGAACATTTGAACTCTTTCCTAGTTCTTGGTTTGCAACTTGGCTAGAAAACCTCCTTTTGGTTTAAATAGGAATGTATATTTTATTTAAAGTCAGTGCAGAATATGGAAGTTGAATTTAGTTAATGTTTTGAAGCATATAAGATAAGTTGAACTCATCTCTTCATCACCTCCCCTCAGTCTACCTAAAACCTGTCACTAATGTTTATCATAACCATAATCTTTCAGCTCTAGAATTATATTCTATTCTTTTCCCTCCTGGAGTTTTACGTGCAACCATTTATCAGATCCTTCCTCTATTATGTCTCCTGACAGCTTTCAATTTCCATGGCCTTTACTAAGTTAACCTAAACAAAATAATATTTCAGCTTCCCATCGACTTTTCTTGCTTCCGCCTATCATAGGTAATGAGAACCACATCCCATGAGCAAAGGAATTAAGAAAAAACAATCTTGAGAGATGCATTTTGTGACTGTATATAGATGGACTAGGGAGAGCACAAGCCCCCCAGTAAATATTCAGAACCCTCTGCCTAATATCACAGTGTTTTCTTCTCAGAATTTCAACTCTCATCTGTATCACTCCTTCTGCTCTGAGTAAGCCAGTCTGCTTCCTGTCATCTATACACAATTTGTCCTCAACTTTGTGTATTTGAATAGGATATTTATTGAACATAAGATGTTCTCTGCCTCATCTGTTCTTAATTCTCTCCTTCTAGACTTGGCTTATAACTACTTTACCTCAGAGGGCTTTTCAGACTATTATTTTATTCTGTCACTTAATACCTAACAATTCAGTTTATACTCTTTATTTTGTACCTGTTATGGATTACTTTGTAAGGATTTTATCTCCTGTGTTAGATTGTGAGCTCTTTGGAAACAGAGACCATGCTTCCTATTTCCTTTGTACTCCATAAAGCATATGTTGCTGTGTGCTTAGTAAGGTACAGTGTGTCCAGAATATTCTCACTAGGTACTCCCTTGTTGGGGCCCTTAGAGTGTAATAGAGTCATTCTCGATCTGAGCAAAGGTGTGACGGGGCAAAGTAAACCAGATTGTTGGTTCACCAAGAGGAAGCAGTGCTTTTGGTGGCACTTCTGTTAAAAGGGAAATTGAATAGACCCTTTGAGAGTTCACTAGGGTCTGAACTTAAATATTTATCATAGCTTTAGAGAAAAAGGTTGCAGTTGAGTTCAGTGGCACCTTGAGTTGTCGACTAGTTGTATGCATAAATAGTTATCTTTTAATTTCATTGTAAACTGTAATATTAGCAGTGGAATCAAAGTTCAGAGGACAAGGCCTAGTAGTAATATCCTCCTGGGAAACCAGGCTAGCTCCAGGCAAATAAGGGACTCTGATTGAGAGATTGAACATTGAAACTTCGAGATTGAACATTGAAACTTTCCTACTGCATCTTGATTCAGACATTAGCTATAAAATATTTTGACTTAAGTCTTTCATGTCTAATAGGCTACAAAAAGAAATTACTGTGACACCTAATCTTTGGGGACTGAAATTGTAATGGAGCTCTCCTGTACTTACCACTCAGTCATTCTCTAGAGATCTTCCTCTTGGACCAGTAGTTTTTTGATGATATGTATGCTGAGTATTGATGAGATATGTTTTCCTCCCTAGACAACACTACAAACCGATGAAGTTAAAAATGTGCCTTGTGGAACGAGGTAAGCATTCCCTTTGCTTACCAACCTTCCTTTAGTTCAGATGGAGTTTCTCTGTTCATAAGCTGTGGTCACTTAAACATCTTTCATGTATGCATATATGTATGTTTGAGTAAAGCCCTGCTTCAGATAGGAGCTTTCCATCTTGGAACCGTTAGAATGTTACTGAGAAATATAGGATTTTAGAGTCAGCTGACCTAGCTTCGTATATCAGCCCTGCCACATCTGCTTTAGCAACTTTTTAAATAAAGCACGTTGAAGTTCATAGCTAAATTGAGCAGAAAGTAGAGTTCCCATATAGTCCTTGCTCCCACACATCTTCATTGACTTTCCTAAGTTTAATTTCCCCATTTGTACAAATAAAGTAATAAAACCTACCTTGTATTTATTGTAAGGATTATAATTAGTGTATATAAAGTGTCTAACCCAGAACTTGACCCAGAGTAGGTATAACAGAAAAGAAATCTTACTACCTTTTCCCGTATAGTATTAAATGCTATCTAATTTAGAGTTTCTGATTCATGGGTCTGGAATGAGGCCCAAGAGTGTGCATTTCGAGCAGAAGTTTCCAGATGATGCTGATCTGGAATGATGCTGCTTTGTTTGAGGACCTTTGAAAATCTCTGCCTTTTAGAGTTTACAGAGAGAAAGGCAGACAAGGCCCAGATTATTTCTAGAGTATAATCAGTACACTGAATTGTATCAAAAGAAGAATGTAAAGTTCATGGTGTTTTTTAACTGCCCTATTGTAAATGATTAAACTTTCAGTATTGCAGGCCTATAAAAGAGGCTTTGACATCTATAGGAAGACAAATACTTTTAAATAAAGAACAACTTCCCTCTGTTTTAAGTTAACTGACTTGAAATCAAGTTCTCTGTATGTCTAGTTGTAACTCTTTTATATGGATTCCCTTTAGAGAGGACTCAAAATTGGCAGCTGGTGAGATTTGGGGTGAATTTTATTTTCATTGCCATGCTTTCTTATGTTTCTCAGATATTCAGTGATCAGGTATTACCTTTTTTTATCAGAAAAATGTCATCAGTTAGTAGGAAGGTTTAGTTGTTTAATTTCAAACATGTATCTTAAATTGAGGTTCACATACCCTTCAGGATCTGTTGCTGGTAGGCCAGGAAGTATAGGAAGTCATTAATTAACAAGACCTTGTTTTTCTGAAGTTTTGTTTTTACTTTGAGGTTTAGGGGAAAATTGTTTTTCTCATGCTAGAATAAATACAGATAAAGAGGATTAAAACACTTGATGAATTATTAGGATAAGGCAGGAAGCCAAAGAAATTTCAGCCTGTAGCTGGTCTCCATAGCTTTTGGGGAACCATTTTACTTGGTTCCTTGATGGAAAAGTTTGAGAAGTGCACTGTTTTAGGTGTTGGCTTTAGTTAACAGGACAACATGCTAAGTAGTTATAGGTTAGTGTTCATGTGAGCTGATTTCACATGGTACAGCAGTACCAGAGGGGAGCCTTTGGTTATGAGAGTGCCAGGTGACTGTGTGTAGGGTAATTTGAGTAGTGATTGGTGGGGTCATTTTAATCAATCATTAGTTTATGTCTTTAGATTTTCCTTCTAAATTTCTATAATGTGGGATATGTTTGATGATGGGGGATTAATCTGGTATTACAGTAGATTTGTATTTGGCTAACACTTTTTCCATTTCTTTGTTTTTAGTGGTGGGGTCATGATCTATATTGACCGAATAGAAGTGGTTAATATGTTGGCTCCTTATGCAGGTATGGTACCATCTGTTCTGTTGTTTTTGTAGTTATAATCAGAATATTTATAACTGAGAGATTCCCTGATGAATAGAAAGGTACTTTTAAAGTTTTATGACCTTATTCATTTTTGCTGTATATAAAAAATAATCACTGGACTATTTTCCATTTCTAGGGAATGGTGGTAGAAGTAGGTCACAAGTTCTGGACTTCCTGCAACTAAACACGTCACTCTTTTCTGAGCTTTTTCTAAGAACAAGACCATCACTGATTATTTCTAAGTTTTCTAGAAAGTGTTTTATCCAGTCAGGATGAGAGATAATTTCCTTGCATGATAAAAATGTATAACTGAGCAATTCCTGGACCACTTTGATTTGTGACCATAGAAAAATCTTTTCTAGTTGAGACCGTAGAAAAACCTTTTCGGATAACTTGCAGAGCTATCTGAAAGTCCTCAGTGTGGGGAAAACATTTTCTTGGTAAAAGATGAAAACCCACAGAGATGGAGTAGGTTACTATTCAAATCAAAAGTGCTAGAAGTTCTGAAGAAATACCTGCCTATTTTTTATGTTAGATTTTTTTCCCCCAGTATTTTTTATTGTGGTAAAATACATATAAAATTTACCATCATAACCATTTTAAATGTACAATTTTAGTTGTATTCATTTATATTGTTATGCAGCCAGAACCAGCATCCATCTCCATAACTCTTTTCATCTTGCAGAACTGACACTATACCCATTCCTCCCTCTCCCTAGTCCCTGGCAACTACCAGTCCATATTCTGTCTCTCCAATTTTGATGACTCTAGATACTTTATGTAAGTGGAATCGTAGTAGTTCTTTTTTTTTTTGGACTGGCTTATTTCAGCATGTTCTTCTCAAGGTTCATACAGGTTGTAGCATGTGCCAGAATTTCCTTCCTTTTTAAGGCTGAAGAATATGCCATTGTATGTACATACACATTTTGTTTATCCATCCATCAATGGACACTTGCACAGCTTCCACATCTTACCTATTGTGAATAATGCTGCTGTGAATATGGGTGTACATGGGTCTCTTCAAGACCCTGTTTTCAACTGAAATATCTGTCGTTTTATCGTCATGCTTATTATTACAACTGGTATACCTAGTACGTGCAGGAGACTGGCCAAAGCAATTTAAAAGGGTGAAGTTAGAGTCTTTGCCCTAAGGGGTTTTTACTTTCCTGAGAATACATGATACTGACTTAAAAATTTTATGTAAATTGGAATGTAAGGTCGTGCTGAACTACATGTCTTTGATGCTGGGTGCAAGTAGTAAAAGGATTTCGGAGAAGAGAGCAGGCTGTATTCCTGTCAAGTGAATTTGGATTATATCTTTCAGAGATTAAGTATTTTCCTCGTCTTTTTTCATCTCCTTTCCCTGGTCACAAATCCATGGAATAGATTATGGTTGGTAAAATAGAAGAAGGGGAAAGATTACTGGTTCTCTAGCCAGAGATAATTCTGAATAATGGATTACCAATTCATTTGCAATGACCAAGCAAATTAGTTAGTCAGCAAATATTTATTGATGGCCTGTACATTCACTGTGATCTGGAATCCAGTTGCATTGAATACCCTCCATGGGAAGGTCAGTGGAGCAAGTCTTTGGGTCTGAAGGGAGAAAGCAGCATGTTTTAATAGGCAGAGCATAAGTTCTGGCATGGTCTAGTATGTGCCCTTAGGCACATCTCGAAATTCTGTTTCTCAGTTTCCTATTATAGAAAATTAGGAGATTTTTAAAATCATAATTAAGTGGTAATATGTAAATTGCTTGGCATAAAGCCTGGCCCTGTAAATGTTAGCTGCTTTCCCTCGTAGCCTGGTGTCTTTTTTTTTTTAACAGACTTTAAAAATTGCCTTTTTGAAAATGATCTTTTGCAGCTGCTGCTTTCTTTTATTCCTACTGTTCCTCAGTTAGTTCAGGCCCCCTTTACCTCTTAGCTAAACTTATTTTGCAGTAATTGCCTTACACTTTTCCTTGCCTCTAATCTCACTGCCTCACAATTCATCTTCACACTGTTGTCAAAGTGTGAATCTGATTGTTATGTCTTTGCTTGTAAATTTTGACAGTTCCTTATTACCTCTAAGATAATGCATAGTCTCTTACTATGGGATTTGAATTTTGCTTATTAGAATTACAAATGCAATATCTGGAAAATTGAGCATGAGGAACATATCAGGGTTTGTGAGTTGTGTTTCATGTTTTCATTATTTCATTAGCACTTTTCCTCACATATATCACTAACTATTATGTCAGTTGAATTAGAAAAATATGTGGGTAAATGGATTGTATTTCTTCTTCAGTGTTTGATATTGTGAGAAACTACACTGCAGATTATGACAAGACCTTAATTTTCAATAAAATCCACCATGAACTGAACCAATTTTGCAGTGCCCACACGCTTCAAGAAGTTTACATTGAGTTGTTTGGTAAGTGTATTATTTGCTTTAAATATATATATAAACAATTAGAACTCTTTTTCAACTCTCTGAGTACTATAATAGTGTTTGTACACATGCTATTTGAGCCTTTCTTCTGAGTTGATTAATAAAGCAACTGTCTTTAAAACAGTCTTTATCTGAAGTTTAAAATTTCTTAATGATTAAGTAAAGCAGCCACCCAGACAAGATATTCTAGGAACGATAACCGTTTTCTGAAATGCATAGTAAATAACTTGGTAGAGATTAGAAAAAGATCATTGCTTACAGACTATATTATGTTTTTATTATGACAGATTATTGAAAACTAGCTTTGTTGCTATTTTAATAGGTAATTGGAGAAATTTAAAAGTCTGTGTCTTAGAGTTTCCCAAGATTCCCCCTGCCCCCCCACCACCTTGTTTGATGATTCACTAGGAGGACTGATAGGACTCAGTGTATAGTTGTACTTACAGCTAAGACGATTACAACAAAGGGGTACAAAGCACAATCTGCAAAAGGAAAAGGCACATGGCCGAAGTCAGGCACGAGCTTCCAAGGAATGTCTCCCAGCTGAGTCACGCAAGATGTACTTGATTACACTAGCAATGAATTGTGACAACGCATGTGAAATGTTGTCTGCCACGGAAGCTCATTGGAGACTCACTGCCCAGGGTTTTTATAGGCACCCTCTCCCAAGCAAACAGCAAAATTCCAGACTCCCAGAGGGAAAGCTGTTCATCATAAACCACATTGTTCGTATAAACAGTTTAGGCACAGTGAGTCATTCTTACCAGTTCTGGGAATAGTGGGAATCCTCCTTAAATCCAAGTTCCCACATGACAGCCAACTGGTAACTTCCAAACAGACCTTTCAAAGGATTGCAGCTTCAGGCCTGCTGTGTCAACTCTTTTCTGCATGAGTTTTCATTTGAGATAGTGGAAGTTCTGACCAGGGATTGGGTTGTTGCCTTTGGTTGGGTACTTCCTTCTCCTGGAATTCTTAGTAAATTTCTTAGCTGCATGCATAAGTGTGCTTACTGATTTTAGAAATCTACCAATTGATTCCTCACTGATGATTGACAACTACTGGGATGGTGTATGAGAAAACAATCTGTCATGATTTGTCCTATCACTGGTCTCTTTAATAGTGGAGAAAGTACTCTTGAGGTGGATAGAAAATTTGTGAGTTTCAAGCCCAAGCAAAGTGACATTTTTATTGTCCATTCTTGTGTGCTTCAAAGACCTCTGTGAGCCTTTTTTTTCCCCCTGTTTCTCTTTAAGTTGAAAATAATAGGCAGAGGTACATGAAATGAGATTGTTATTTGGGGATCTGGATAAAGATTGAAGATAGGAATTTTGTGTGTGTGTGAGAATCAGGACATATGAAGTAACAGCACTGAATTAAGATATTAGAGACCTAGATTCCCCATTTATTGAAAAAACTTAGACTAGCTGGTTGTTATATTTTTTAATTTCTTTGTTTAATAAATCCTTACATTTTCTTCCATACGAAAGAAAAACTGTGTGTGTGTGTTTTCATATATATATGGAGAAGTTTATGCTCTATAAGAGAATAGTACCATAGAAACTTCAGGTAGATGATTGGTTTTATTTCGGTATGAATAAATGTAAAACAGTTTTTTTGAGTATCAGAGCTTTGTTCTTGGCCTCAAAAACAGATCAAATAGATGAAAACCTGAAGCAAGCTCTGCAGAAAGATTTAAACATCATGGCCCCAGGCCTCACCATACAGGTAAGCTTTTTGCCTAGGGATAGTCTCTGGGAATTTCGAGAACTATAAGTGTCCTTTTATCAAACTTTATTCAGCAGTTATTTAATTGAAGTGCTATGGTGATTTATAGAAAACCTTTCTGTTTGACTTTAGGCCTCTGCCAGAATAGAATACTCTTGTAGCTTACAATGGGTGGTATTTTCCTCTGAACTCTAATAGGCAACAGAAAAACTGAGGCTCTTACAAAGAAGTAAAATCTGTATACTGCTATGCACGAGGCATTAAGATACAGTAATGGTTAATAAGAGTAATGTTGTGCCTTCACTAAGATTATGAAAAAGGATCTCAAATATAGGAGTTGAACAATTATAGACAAAAGAGGTGTCATAAAGTATTAATTGACAGATGAATTGATTGGGTGATGATTACAGCTAAAATTTAGAATTAGAGAACATTTTGAGTCTGCCTGGAAAAGACTGTGACTGAGTTTTGGGATTTTAGGTAGTCTGGAAGAGTTAATAGGATTTATATGGGAGAAAGGAGTAAGGAAGGTATTTCAAGTGAGTGGGATGGCCTGGGTAAAAGCAAGGTAGCAGATGAATTTAGTGGTGGTGGTGGCATTGGGAGAGAATGTTGAGAGGTTATAAGCCTGCTTTTGGGGGTCAGTATTTTTTGATTGGGTTGAAATCCATTAATGGGATCTAAAATCAGTTTTAGGTAATCATGACCAGAATTTTAAGTGAAACGGAGTTGAAAAGGAAAGGATATCAGAGGACATAGTATGTAGTAAGCTTAGATATCATTCTGTGAAACTAGTTTGTTTTACAAAAGTGTGTGGGGTAAGTGTTTATATTGGGTATAATTGTAAAATGCGTTTTCCCACTGTGGTTGTGGTCAGTTAAGATTTGAAAGCCGTTGCTCCTTATCTGTGTTACCTGAAAAATGGTAATATGGCTTCTCTAGGGTCCTTACAATTTCTAGAAGATCAGTTGATTCTTATGATGAACCTGATTGTAGCTAAAGCTAAAGCTTTCTTTGGTGTCACATGCCTTAAGTGTCGCACTGCTACTAAGAGTATCCGTTCACTGTGAATTACCATGCGTGATCTCAACAAGACTAGAAAAGTGATGAATGTTTTCTCCATCCTCAATCATGCTGTGCCATTATCTTTAGTGACTGAGGGGAAGCTACCAAAGTTCAGGGGTCATTTGAAATGTCCAGAGCTAACTTTGTAAAACCCTCTTGGTTGTCCATTTGGTTGTAGCTAGAGTAGCTTTTCAATTTTAAAGATAATAAATGTGAATGTCATGGATTCTTAGATTCTGCCTAGGTTGTTAATTGGGGGTCTGGCTCATTCATCTTAACAGTTGCCTTGAGTTCATTGCCTTATATTACATAACCATTTTCATATTCTTTAGTTTTTTTTATTAACTGTGAACATTCCTGACATCACCTTGTATGTACAGATTCTTTCAAAGTAGCTGTACAAATCTGCATTCTTAACCAGCAGTATATGTGAATACTTGTTTCTTCACAATCTCATTAACATTTAAAGCAGTCAGATACGATAATTTTTGTCATATGGATAGGTGTGAAGTTTTATCTCTCTTTGATTTGCATTTCTTTATTTATTAATGAGGTTGAAATTCTTCTGGTATTTTTTTTTGACCATTTATATTTACTCTCCTGTCAATTGTCTATTCATATCCTCTGTCCATTTCTCCTTTGGGTTTTTTTCTTACTGATTTATAGTAGTACTTTGTATATTCTGGATATTCTATACACATGCTATGTATGTTGTAAAACAAATTAGATATTAGGAGAAAGATGAATAACCAAGTGAAATTTACCAGTAATCTTACTATGCAGAAATAACACAATTTGTCATATCTTTCCAGACTCCTTAATGAGAGGAACATATGTTTGTTTATAGGTACAATGTCAAAACCAAAGTGGAATCATACCATAGCTGCTTTTTCACTAACAGTATATATCTTTTCAAGTCAAAAATACAGATTTGCTACATCATCACTTTTAATGGTTTTATTTATTAATTTCTATGGCTTCTGATTTTTACTATTATATATATGTTGCAGTGACTGAGCTTATGCATACAACTTTTAAACTCCTTCCCTTGGGATAAATTTTTAAGTGTAGGATTGATAAGTATATGCCCTTCTTGGAGGCTTTTTGATACATAGTGATGATTTGCCTTTCAAAATGTTAGCAGCTTATATTCTCATCAGCAGTGTTGGTGTTCTACAGTTGCTTACACATTGGATTGTGTGATTGTACTCAAATAACTAGTAGAGGCACACCCACTCACTTAATCTTTAATTTAGAGAAATCTGATATTTTGTATTAATTATCAAGGTTGAATGTCCTAAAATATTTATCAGCCATATGAAAATTAATAAAGGGAAACTTCACTATAGTGGAGTCAGGAGCCTAGAAAGGAGAGCTATACCACTTCCGTTACAGGAAGAATTGTCAGTTACAGACCCCCTTAGAAGAATTGTCAAGAGGCAGGATTCACCAATTACTCCCTCCCACAAAGATGTATATTGCATCTCCTGCAAGAAATAAACAACCCCTCAAATTAGCCATTGAGCAACTAATCACCCTGAACTCTGCTTTTTACTCCAATGGACTTTCCTTCAAAACAACCCCTCCTAGCTTCCTCCTCCTCTCCATAAAATAACTTAACCTCTCCTTTACTGGTTGAACTTGCATATGGTTTTGCAGTACTTGCATATCCTGAATTGCAATTCTTTGCTAATCCAGAATAAAACCATTTTTGCTGGTATTATGTGACAGTTTTATTTTTAAGGGTAACAGCCATTTGTATTTCATTTGTGAATTATTTATTGTGTTGGCTCGTTTTTTAGTTATCTGTTTTCTCATCATAAACTATTTTTTATATGTTAATTATTTCAACTCTTTAAAATGGATAAAATAGCCACTACCAGCTACCATCTCTTGCCTAGACTTTTACAGCTGTCTCCTGTCATTTCCCTGCTTTCCCTCTTACCCCCTTGTCCACATCATTTTCTGCACAGCACAAAAAGGATCTTTTAATTTTAGTTATATTTGTTGTCTTTATAAAAATAGTTACTGAATGACAAAAATGTTGATTTATGGTACATTTTTAAACTGGTAGATCAAAATCTCCAGTGTTTTGGTTGCTTTAGACTTGTTATAAAATAATTGTAATAAATTTTTAGAACTTTATGGCCATTTTTCAGCCTTTCTTTTTAACACATAACCATATGGTTATGAGAATTCAACTTTTTATTCACTTTTAAGATCTCTTGAGAAATATTATCTTTCCAAAAATAAAGGCCTTTGTATTTCTAGCAGCTTTATTCTTCCAGATGAGTTTTCATTACTGATATTTTCAAGCTGTCTCAGGTTCTTAAATTGGCATGTAAGTTTTAAAATTAGGAACATTGTTTATGGCTTTATTTAATCATAACAATTTTGTTTCTTTTGGAATTTCTGACCTAGTGATCAGTTCATGTCCCAAATTCGATTAATACTTAAGGATTTAAAGAGTTTAAATGCTGTTAAATATGTAGTCTTTTTTTTTAAAGCATTTATGAATACAAATGATTCTTAGTAAACTTTTTGTATACTTACAAGATATCTTGTATATCTTCATGCTGTATCCACTGTGCCTAGAACAAATGGCACTTTTTGCCTAAAACAAACACAGACTAAATCACCCAGTTAATGCTTGTCAAATGAACTTTCTCTGTAACGATCAGTATTGTTTTCCCTTCTCTATGTTTATATTCCATTTTTCTTCTTGAACAACCACTATATCAAATTAGAGTAGTGGAGGTAGGCATACTTGATTTTTTTTTTCTTGTTTTATTTAAGAGAGTGACTATATTACATGCTGGCTTTTGATTTAAAATATATGCTTATAACCCAGGAGTCAGTTTCAACAGATACATTCATTTCATCACCTTTTTTCCACTCACTATATAGTGTACATACGTATGTGTGTGTATGTATTTTGGCCATTGTTTTTGGATATGTTGTCATTAAAATCTCTTGTGATGCAACTTACTCATGTTTCTGTTACAGTAGATTTTTATACTTTCACATATTTGAAACTTAGGAGATTTCCTAAGATTGGCAAGCATGTGGTATGTTCTTTAGCCTCATACAGCAAGATGGAAATCTTCATAAGACAGTCCTATTTTTATACTTCTTTTATAAGACTAAAAAGATACATGACCAGTGTCTTAATTAAATGCAGTATGACAGTGCTTCCCTCTGAATCGCATTAAAACATACTGGAAGTCATCTGTATTTCTCATAGTTACCTAGTGAAATCTGGCATCTCATAAGTGACCAGTTCTGAATTGAGTCTGATAGATATCTCCATGAATTGCCTTATCCTCAGCATGTAATGAGTTTTTTCATCATAGTCCCCAGCCTTTTACTGCATTTCAGTCTAATTCTTGTATTTAGTATGGTAGTCCTCAAAATTATATACAGGTTAATTGTTCTCTTTCACTGGGAAGACTATGTTGCTTAAAAGTTTTAAAAGTCATCTTACCAGACCCTTAAGAGAAGATCATATGCTTAAAGCCTTTGTTGCTACAAAGTTGAGCCAGTTTTCAGGGGGAAATGAAAACTTTTCTTCAGATCAGCAGTGTTTTGTGTGTGTTTGCAGTATAGTAGGGGGTGAGGGATGTTTAACAAGTAAAAGCAAAAGCTTATGAGAGATCAAGTCCTTGATGTAGAAAAGTCAGCCTTCAAAAAAGTATACTTTCCAAATAGATAATCCTAATTACAACAAAATACGCTATGATTAGGAAAAGAAAGTATCTAGTAAAAAATGTCTACAAAAAAAGTAGGCTTTTGTTCTAAGCAAGATTTTAGGAAGAAAGAAAATAAATTGTAAATTGCTATTTGTTTTCTTTCAGTGTTGAGCTGTTTTATTTACAGCCAGTATTGAGTGCTTGCAGATTTAGGAAGTGGTAAACTCATTTACTGTCCACTGCAGTAAACTGCATATACTGACCTGGGTTTTTTGGTTTTTGTTTTTGACTGTTTTCTATATTACAGTTTAAATCTTAGAATTTTGCCTTCTGTTTCCTTCAGCTGGAGGGGCTGAAATACAGCTCCATTTGGTTTGGAGGTTTGAAAAGGCAACAAAAGTACAAGTAAACAGCCTTGTGAAAGATCTTTTGAGGGAGAACTTATTTCCTAAAGGAATTAATTTCCTCAGTGGGTAGAGTGATTTTTCCTGTGAGCCAAGCATTTTTTTTTAGGGAAAACAGGAAGCAGCCTATCTTTGATTCTTGGTGTAATGGCATGAAAAGTAGATTTTCTGTGGGATCCTCACATATGTTAGTAGGCAGTTAATGTCAAAGTTTTTTTTATTAGTTTCATTTGAGAAGCTCTTCTGTAGAAGATTTAGTTAGAAGGTTTATTTTTCAAATATACTTTGGCTTTTTCACTTTTATTTTTTAGGCTGTACGTGTTACAAAACCCAAAATTCCAGAAGCCATAAGAAGAAATTTTGAGTTAATGTGAGTAATGTGCATGGGATCCCAATATTTCTAATTAGGGCTGTCTACATAATTAATATGCCAGTCTAGAGGAAACTTACATGTGAGAGAGTACACTCTGGGGTGGGGTATATGTCTGTCTTCCATACTTTAATTCTAATAAGATTGCCTGTCCTGGTGTCTTAATTCCCACTAGACTCTTACTAGCTTTCTCTATGTATGGACATCTTAGGAACAGCTTCAGTGGCTAAGAATGCAGTTTGCTATGTAACTATTGTTGGAAGTCTGAAGGAGCTATAATTTGTGTGAAAAATACCTCAAATTAAATACTAATAGAGGAAAAAAAGAGTCCTAGCTATTAAGGTTGAAGAGAATGCCTGTATTTTGTTACTGTATTATAATGGCAAGAATAGACACCTTATTGGTTATAAAGTTTGGTTTTCCATTGTGTGTGATTATGTGTCTAAAATTAGACCTGGATCTTGATCATTTGCCTCTGGGGAAGCTTTTCCCAGTTCAACTCCTGATAGTCTTCTCTTTCATGTGTCTGACTGAGAATGGGATGTTCTTGCTTGACATGAAATTAGTTTCTAAGTGTTTTAGAAGATTCCTTTTAGGGAACTATGTATTGCAGTAAAAATGTAAAATTAGTATTATACAGGTATTAAAAAGGAGAAACAATTTGTTGGGAAATTTGGCTGATGTGTTAAGAGGAAAAATACGAAATGCTGAAAAAATAATTTTGCAGATATTGAGAATACAACAGATACATAGATACAGGGCATCCAATAATAATAATAGTTCTTTATGGAGGGTATACTTCTGTATCTTTACTGTCCCAAGTATATGTCTTCTATTATGCAGAGTTTTAGTTTCCATTTTTCATTGTAGAAAAAGAACTCTAAAGGACACAGTGCAAGGCTGGGTAGTTCATGGGTCTAGTCCATTTATTGAAAAAAAATTTATTGAAGGCTCAAGATGTATTAGGCTTTAAGTATGATAGCTTCTGGTGATCGAAAGATCAATACTGTGTTCTCTGCCCTCAAATAACTCATAGCATACAGAATGTCATTTTACGTCTTTATCAGTGTTGACTGGAAGAAAAGGGAGGGTTTTGGGGGAAATGTTTTTTGGAACCTATTGGAGTTACTTTTCAGATAATTCTGCATCTTTCCTAATTTTATAGACTACTGGCATTCCAAAATTAAAAGCCACCTTGGGATTATCCAGTCTGACCTCCCGCCTAACAGTAATCTTTTTTTACACCATTTCTACCATGTGGTTGCCTAGTCAGTCGCCACTTGACACGCTTGGTGATAGGACAGCCATTTCCATTATTAGAGAACTCAGATTAGAAAATTCTTCCTTACATTGAACCTCAGTTCCCCTATAACTGCTGCCTAGTTGTATTTTCCATACAAGTTGGGCCACTGCATAAGGTTGTCTGCCTGAGGAGAGGTTGGAATCCAGCTCCATTCTGCTTGCCAAACTGCACCTGAAGGACTGCATCTGCCCAGAGGTTGCTCTCTTCTGCTGATTGGCCCAGAAGTGTGAATGGGCTAGCTGGAGGCCTAACAGCAAAGGAAGCGTTTATGTATTCCAGTTACTTCCAGATCATAGGCCTTTCCATGGTAGAATTAGAGGAAAGAATCACACTTAACTTCAGATGTACTAAATTTGATTCTTATATCTGGAAGACTTTAGGCAAATCATTTAACGTTTCAACCTCAGATTCATTATAAATAGGGTTAACACCTCTCTTATCTACCTTAATGAGTCAGAAAGTTCTTGTTGAAAATGGTTCCGTGACCCATTATACAGTCAGAATTACTACCTGTGACTACATAGCACTTCTAATTTTTGTAATATTTTGCTCCACAGGGAGGCTGAGAAGACAAAACTTCTTATAGCTGCACAGAAACAAAAGGTGGTGGAGAAAGAAGCTGAGACAGAGAGGAAAAAGGCTGTTATAGGTACTTGGATTTCTTTATGAAATGGATGTGTCTAATTACATGTGTTATGAGTTTGTCCTGTTCTTTGTCAGTCTCATGTTGCGTGTTGATGGGACTGCCATAAGACTGCATCATACATAGTGGGGAATTATGGAAACTCCTTTGTTTATGCATTCAGATGTCCTGAAGCCTTTAAAAGTAGATGAGGCCAGTAAATATGAAGTGCTTTGGCTCTTCACTATGTTCTTGGCCACTGCTATTGTTTATTTCAAGGATAGGAAGATTGGATCTGGTTTGGGGGCAGCTCTAGCCTCCCAGAGTAGAGCATTTGCTTATACAGATTAAGAATAAGGAAATTTTTGGCCAAAGCTTGGAATGACAGCATGCATCCTTGCTATTGACATGCACCCTGTTTTATTTGGATGGATAGATTGCTACTTCTAAAAGTATGGCAGGATTACTTAACAGCTCATTTTGAATCACAGTGATTGCCCTAATATTCTAGGATACTGTATGTTAGACTGCAATCTTAGGCTCTTATTTGGTTCTTTGGAATGATCAATGTTTGAGGAGTTTTTATTAAATATTTCAAATGTGCAGGAATGTGTAGAGACCAATATAGTGGAGGCTTAACATTTTGCCACATTTCCTTCAGATCATATTTTAAGAGAAAATTTATGTATCTGTTTGAAGCTTCCTTTGTACTCTTCTTGGTCTTATTTCTTGACCTGTCTTCTCAGTAGTTTCTATTCTGAAGTTGATATATATCTTTTCTGTTTATATTTTTATACTTTTGTTGTAAGCATGTAACAATACATGATTGGTAGAATTGTTTTAAAATTACAAAAAAGGTACCAAACTCTAATTTCACAGCTTCCCTTTTTTTTTTAACTAAAATGCGAGTTTTATTCATATTGAGACATGTAGACCTAGTTCATTCTGTGAGTGAACCTCAGTTCATTCTGATAGATTACTAATGAAGAGTTAGGTAGTTTCTAGTTTTTCCTTATTACAGACAGTGCTGCAATAATGCCCTTCCCCATGTCTCTCTGCACACATGTAGGAGTTTTCCTGGAGTAGTGGTGCTACCCAGTCTGTGGTGTGGATTGGTGTCTTATCACCAGCTTTTTGTTTCTGATCTGCAGTGAGGCCACTACAGAAATTGAGAATGAGTGTTTAGAAGGTGTTATAGCATTTTAACATGGTGATTTATGTCTGCTGAATCTAATAATAAAAATTGGAGTTTTTTTTTTATTTCCTAGTAATTCATTTTTATTATACTTTACAAAATATTCATTCCTAACATTATGAAATACCAAAAAAAAAAAAATGCCCACGGGAAGGTTGAGAAACACTGCTCTAGAATACACATCTCAAAGTAGAATTGCTGAGTCATGGGTACACACAGCTTCAAATTTACAACATATTGCCAAATTGCCCTCCAGAGTGATTCTTCCATTTACCCCCTCTTCTGCAGTATTTGAGTTCCAGTTTTTGTGCTGCTATGTTGAATTCCTGTTTCTACATATCCTCTTCAACCCTTGGAGTTTTCAGACTTGAAAATTTATGCCAGTTTGATGGTTAATATAGTATTACATAATTTCGGTTTGAATTTCCCTGATTACTAGTAGAGTTGAATATTGTTTATTGGTCATTCAAGTTCCCCTTTTTGGTATGTGAATTGCCTGATAAGCTCTTCAATCCATTATTTGATCACTTTTATTTGACTGATTTGTAGATGTTCTTTATATTTTCTGGATATTAATCCTTTCCCAGGTTTATGCATTGCGAATGTTCTCTCTCAATTTGTGATTTGTCTTTGAACTTTAGGATGTCTTTGATATACAAATATATTTAATTTTCATGTAATCAAATTGATTAGTCTTTTTCTTTGCGGTTTGTGCTTTTCCTTCTGTTTAAGACTTCTTTCCCAACCCCAAAGTAAAAATTTTGTTCTAAAAGTTTTAAAGTTTTGCTTTTCACATTTAGGTCTTGATTCCATCTGGAGTTTATTTTGTGTTTAGTGTGACATAGGAATTCAGCTTTATTTTTTCTAAAATGGCAAGCCAATTATCTTAGACTATTTATTGAATTCCCTCTACTTTATTTCTTATGTCACACATGTCATGTAACAAGATCCGATGTATAATTTGTTCTGTTGCTTGGGTCTATTTTGTTTTAATTTCTTGGTCTGTCCTTCTCCAGTGTTAACTTTTTTAAATTACTGTAGCTTTTATGTTAAGTCTTGGTATCTGGGAGAGCAAGTTTCTCCTTACTAACTATTGCTCTTAAATGTTCTTAACTATTCCTAAAATGACCTTGGACTATCCTAGGCCCTTCATTTTTCTATATAAATTTTAAAACTGGCTCCTCAAGTTCTGTGAAACACTGTGTTGGGGTTTTGATTGTAATTACATTACTTGTAAACATCAATATGGAGAGAATTAAAATATTTATAATATTGAGTCATACAAATCTTTCATATTTCTCTATGGGAAATGTCTTTCAAAAAATGTCATAATTTTGTTCTTGAAGTTCTTGCACATTCTTTGCTAGAGATTTATTCCCATGTATATTCCTCAAGTTTTTGCTATTTTTAATAGACTTTTTTGAAGGTACATTTTCTAATTGTTTTTGCTTTTGTATAGGTATGCTGTTAATTTTTTTACTTTGCAGTCTTGCTGAAAATGCTATTATTTCTAATAGTCTCTTGGATTTTCCATATGAACAGTTATACTGTCTTCAGATCAGGACAGCTCTGGATTTTTCTTTGTGGTCCCACACCTTTTAGTTCTTTGCATCTTAACTGGTTTAGGCTATGACTCCAGTGCAGTGTTAAAAAGAAAGGTGGCAACTGACATTCTTGCCTTGTTTGTAAAGAAAAAGTAAGTTTTATTGGGTTAATGGTGCGTTCTTCTATTTCTTACTTGCCAAGAGTTTTTTTCATGAATGGCCTTTAAAGCTTTCTAGAATTTTTTTCTATATCTTTTGAGATGACATTATAATTTTTCTTTTTAGAGATGTTAATGTGGTGAATTATATGAATAAATTTTTCTGTCACTGAATTATTTTGTCTTCCTGGGATAAACCCACTTAGTCATAATGTAGGAGAGTCCCTCCAATACAGTTCTCTGTTTCTTTAAATTTTCTACATTTATTTTAATAAGTGTGATGAGCTTGTAATTTTTTTCTTATACTCTTACTATCAGTTGTTTTTTGTTTTTGTTTTTGTTTGTATCATGGTTATACTAGCCTCAAAATGAGTTGTAGAGCATTTCTTTTCCTGTGTTCTGGAACATTTTGTATAAGATACTATCTCTTTGTAGGTTTGGTGAAACTCAGTTATAAAAACCATCTTGGTCTTAGTGGGGTTTGTGCTTTTTTATATACTTATTTGTTTTTGTGATAACACTTAACCTGAGTTAATTTCTACAATGAATGTAGGTGTAATCAGGTATTTGTTTCTTTTTAAGTCAGTTTTGGTAGTTAAATTTTTCTAGATAATTGTCCAGTTTATCTGACATTTCCAATTTAGGAACATACATTTGTTTGAATTCTCTTATGATTTTTAAAACCTTTTACCAAATCTGTGTGCTCCCTTTTCATTCCTAATATTGTTTATTTGTGCCTTCTCTTTTGCTGGTTCAATTTTGCCAGGGGTCTGTCTTTATTCATGTTTTCTGAGAACTGGATTTTGATTTGGTTCAATCTATTGTCACTTTCTTCTCAGTTTTATTATTTACCCTTCTTTCTTTTTTTTACCCTTTTTGAGTTCACTCATTTTTTTCCTAACTTCTTGTGTTGCTTAATTCTTTGGTTTTCAGTCTTTTCTAATTCTTTACTTTTCAGTCTTTTCTAATGGAAAAAATGTAGGATTATAAGTTTTCTTTTAAATTCTGCTTTAGGTAGGTACATCTTGCAAGTTTTAAAATGTGGTTTAGTGGTGTTCTGTTTTAATTTTTTAAACACTTCCATCGTGATTTCTTCTTTGACTCATGAGTTATTAAAAACATACTTAAAATGTATGATTGAAAGGGCTTTCAGGGGGCTACCTTTTATTGTTGCTTTCTAGTGTTACTGCATTGTAGCAGAAAATATGATCTGTTATATGGATTTTTAAATACTTACTGAAATTTCCTTTGTGGCCTATCAGTGCATGATCCTTTATGGTAAATGTTCTATGTATGCTTGAAAAGATTGAATGTATATTCTCTAGTTGTTGGATACAGGTTTCTGTACATATCTATTAGATCAGGCTTATGAATTTTGTTGTTTGTGGCTTCTATATTCATCTAATTTTTGCCTTCTTGAGCTATAATTACTGAGATAGGTGTGTTAAAGTCTCCCACTATGACCATGGATTTGTTGACTTGCCATTTTTGTCTTTATATATTTTGGGGCTGTATGTAGCATTAAGAGCATTCAGGTTCAGGATTGTTACATCTCCCTGGAGAATTACTCCTGTTATATAATTACTCTCTTTATCCCAAACACGCTTTTTGAATTAAGGTCTATTTTGTCTGATAATAATATAGCAATGCCAGATTTCTCTTGGTTAGTTATTTTCTTGATGTATCTTTTCCCATCCTTTTACTTTCAACTTTTCTATGTCATTATGTTTTAGGTGTGTCTCTTGTAAACAGCATATAGCTGGATTTTGTTATCTTATCCAATGTGAGAATCTGTCTTTTAACTGGTGAGTTTAGTCTTTTTATATTTATTGTGGTTACTGCTATTTTTGGATTTGTTTGTATTATTGAATTTTATGCTATTTACCATGTGTTTTTTTCTTTGCTTTTTTCCGCTGTTTTCTGACTGATACTGAATTGATTGAATTTTCTTTATTCTTTTCTTTCACTTGACTGAAAGTTTTGCATTCTGTTTCTAGGATGTATAACTAGTCATTGCCTGTAAAATATTAACAAAGCTTACCTGACTTGACAAAGTCTACTGTTAACCATTCTTTCCATCCTCTTCTTGAACAATACCCTACAATGCTTTAATTCTTATCACTGTCCTCCAATTTACATATTATTGTTGCCCAATATTTTAGTTTCATGTTGGTTTTATTCTCCCATTGATTATTATCATCATCATTTTAATTTATATGTGTTAAGTGATTTTTTTTTTCCCCTCTCCATTGCTTCTGGCAATTCATTCTTTTTTCCACTAGTTTTTTTTCCAAGGAAGGTTAACGAGTGGAAAACTTACTCAGTCTTGCTTGGTCTGAAGTGTTTTATTTCATTCTTTAATGGTAATTTAGCCTACAGTTCTAAGCCCAATTGAACTTATTTTTCTTTGTCACATTGGCAGTATTATTTCATTTTTGTTTGGGCTCTTCTCTTTTCACTTTTAATATTTTCCTCCCTGTCTTTGGGTGTTCTCCAGTTTCACTGTGATGTGTCTAGGTAGAGAAAAGCTAACTTCTCTCTAGGCTCAGGGGTACAGCTTTTTAGTTTCACAGGAGTTGAAGCCCTTTAGCAGTCTCCATTTTAATGGAGTCTTGGTTCTAACATCTCAAAGCCTCATGAACTGGCCATGCATAGGCAGTAACCCAGGTCTCCCTTACTCGTCTAATAGCTACCCCCAGGGCTGCCACCATATAAGCTCTCAGCTCTCCTTTCTCTTTGCCATCTCTTAAGGATCTCCATTCTTCCTTGTGATCTTAGCCATGCGTTAAAAAGTGGATGTATTTTCTTTAGTGCTTTTTAAGGTATTAGCTGAAGAGTTTTCTCATTAGCCTACTCTATCATTTTTAGAACTAGAAATCTGGTCTTGCTCTTTATTGGTTTATTCCCCCATGTAAGAGAGCAGTGTTAAATGGGATTACCGAAAGTTCCCCAGTGTTCTCTGAGTTCTAGTTGCAGGCTTCAGATTCCTTACCTTTTATTCAATTTTCATCTTCAGTTTCTACTTATAGTTAAATTTCTAGCCTAGTTGAACATAGTGGTCTGTTTTTAGGATGGTATGTTACAGATTGATTATTACACTGATGGGGAAGTAGGGAAGTATGCCCTGCAGTAGTGGATAAAAGGTACTATCTTCTGTAAAGAAGAAACCACTGGAAGTTTTCTTTCCATTATGTACTTCCCTCAGGGGCCAGAGATAAACTGTGTTAAAATACTTACCTTTTTTAGATGAAAAGAAGAATTGAGAATGTTCTTTAGAAATTACAGTGATTGAATTAAAAGTGTAATTAGTGTTTTTCTTCCCTGGTCCTTGGATCTTTTGGTTAGGCCTAAGGTTTACTAAGGGTATTTTCCTGCCTTTAATTGCCTTCTGCAGTTGTTCATTCCCAACGCTTATTTTCACATTCTCTGCTTACCCATCCTGCTTCCTCTTCTACAGCAGTCAGAATACTCCTCCTCTGATGTTATTTTCATCTTGTCTTTTCTCTGATGGTTAACTTAACAGTCGATCCTGAGTATATTAAAGTTAAATTGTACAGTCTGTCATTCAAGATAGGGGTTTTCCAGCCCTCTCTCTACTTACTTTTTTGTTGTCTTGTCCTGTTAGCTGTCTCCAAATCACCTCTTCATTGAGACTTGCTCTTTTGTCTTTACACTTTCTGCCATGTTCTTGTAGGTCACATTCATTATTTTAAGATTTCTTCCAGAGGGCCTTTCTTGGATTAACTTATCTTCCTTACTCTTTCTTCCTCCTGCCACATTATATAATTGTCCTGTGTTGCCATGCATTTATGTTGCTCTGTTTTTGTTCCAAGTACTTCATGAAGTATCTTTTTTCCCATTAGCTGTGGACCATTGCTATTTAATCCCATGAAGGACTGAAACTGTTATCTTTTGTACTCCCCCTTTCCACAAAACTAGCACTGTTAAAATAGAATAGTGAAATAGGACATAAATTACCTTTTTTCCGTTGAGTTTTTTACAGTCTGGATGGATTAAACTTAATGAAATAATTAGCCCATTAAAACTTACATAATTAAGTATTCGACTTTGTGCTGCTGATTCTCAGTACCACTGAAGCTAGACAAATGTTTTGAATGTGTCTTTTTTGTGTATAATTATAGAAGCAGAGAAGATTGCACAAGTGGCAAAAATTCAGTTTCAGCAGAAGGTGATGGAGAAAGAAACTGAAAAGCGCATTTCTGAAATTGAAGGTACCTCGGAGAGAAGAGGCTCTGACTGTCCTGAGTCGCCTCTCTGCCTCAGAGGGTTGGGCTCTTGATTGTGGCGGGTGGAAAGACCATAGGCAAGATAATCTTGTCTGCAGGAAGTGGCTGGCCTGATGCTCTAGACATATGTATTTTTTAATTACCATTACTTATTTAGTACTTGGTTTGGTTCAGGACAGTGGGTAACTCAACCTGTCATTTTCTGTCCTTAAATTGGGACTTATTTTTTCTTCCATAATTGTTCTCAGGCAAGCAAGGTATGAGAATTACCCATAGCCAATTGTAAAGAATATACAAGGTAAAAAACCCAACCACTACCAGTTTCTTTTTCTGCCTGTCAACTGAAAGAATTTTTTTTTTAATCATCTGGGAAAAAAGTTTTCACAGAGATTCAAGCTCCTTGACTACACATAATGTGATGTTGATATTCTTAGCTTGTAGTCTTGAAGACCTCTTTTGCTTATATACTGCTCCTTCTTGTCATTCTGGATCAAATTTGGAGGGGAAGGGGACAGTGTGCAGTAAATAAAGCAGAGATTTCATGTCTGAACTTAGTAATTTTACTTGAAGCCCAGAGCATGGGTGCAGTGTGAGACTTTGGGTTATAGGGGCTGGAGGAAAGAAGGAGCAACTTTAGGTGGAAAATGAAATGGGCTCAGTTGAGCTGAGAATTATTCAACATTGACAAGAGTGTTCCCCCTTGAGAAGGAGCTGTCTGGGGCCTGAGATTTGAAAACTGTCATAATTGTTGTATGCCTTTAAAGACAAGTAAAGGATTGGAAATATCAGTAGAGAAAGGGACTCCTACTTACAGTTAAGTCTAGATTCTTTAGCCAGCTGAGAAAATGGATCACAACCTTTCTTTGTTTTAAATACCCTGACTCTGTTTTGCTTGCTAGATGCTGCATTCCTGGCCCGAGAGAAGGCAAAAGCAGATGCTGAATATTATGCTGCACATAAATATGCCACCTCAAACAAGGTGACTGCCTCTCCAAGCTACTGTCCTAGTATTATAATTTGGGTGTTTGCTTTCCCTTGTGGGGGGCTCTAATGTGACAGAGATGATTTACACTGTCAAGGAAGGGTAGTTACCATCAGACCTTCTAGAATCAGCCAGTCACTTAGCAAGTTAATTGCACATTTATTGGGTAGGAACTTCATATAGTTCCTTGTAAAAGTGAGTAGCTGACAAAGCAAGCAGATACATAAACACAGGTCAAATGCCATAATTACATTTGTTTGTGCTACTGTATAAAGGCTTAAAAATCAGGATAGTTGAGGGTCTTCTAAAATGACAAGAGTGACAAGAGGAGAGTACAGATCATTTAGAATTGCTTCCCAGATACTGAGGATGCTCAGCTTATTTAGAGCAGTTTTTCTTATCAGACATAATCTTGGCACTGGGGAAAAAATGCTTTTTTTCATTGTGGAAGACTATCTCATGCACTGGGTGTTTTACCCTTGCCTACTAAATGTCAGTAGTGCTCATAATTATTTATCAACACCCCCTCTCCATTGACACACACATATTTCCAAATGCCCCCAGTTGAGTACTGCTTGTTTACTGGGTGTTTAAAATGTCCTAGTCATGAGGAATTTGCTGTGTGGTAACTTGAGAAAGGAGGTTGAGTGGTATATGCGTGAGTGATCTTTGTGTAGGGACTGAGGTGAGGTTGGGTCTGGAGAGTAGAGGCCGAGTTAGCTGGAATTACTTAATTAAGAGGCAGCTCGAACCCGTGTGATATACTGAGAAGGAAGAATATGACCAAAGTTTTTAAGGTGTTGCTAATTGTAGAATGGATTGGAACAGAGAAGTGAGAAAGAGGTTGCTAAGGTGCACAATGCAGTTTAAAGGGTTAGGGTCATAAATTTAAGGTATAAAAAGCCTGCTATTAATTTCATTTATTGGTTCATTCACCATGTTTACCAAGGGAACATTGGGCAAGGAAAATTTAGCATTAGATTTATAAATGAAATATTTCTTAATATAATAGTCCTTAAATTGGTAAACTTAGAGAACAGCAAGTTTGGGACAGTTATATAAAAACAATAATGATATGTAAATTTTCAGTGTAATTATAACACTAATGAGTTAATAAGTAGTTGTCTATTTTCAACAGTTGCATATGTGTGTGGCAGTAGAGTCTGAGACAGGTGCTGATGCTTCAGTCACTTGGCCACACGGTTTTGAGTCATGGGAATTGCTTGTCTTAATCTGACCACTAAAGCTCTGTTCTGTTGTTTTTCATGTAATAGAAATAGAAACAACTGAAAAAAAAGATTCAAGATACAGACAGGGCTTAAACTTTTTCAATTTAGAGAGGAACACCACAATCTGTATTCAGAAGAAATGTAAGACATGATAGGTTGATATAATGAGTTGTAAGTACTTTGAAATCCATTATACATTTAGAAATAAATTTAACATATTGTAAGACATGCTTTATAAAAATAGAATAAAATTTGTCCAAGATGAAGGCAAGATGAGAAACTTCAGCTGACAAAAAACTAGCCATCCAACTCTGTCATGGGAGCTGGCCAGCCAGGCCCCGGGTATCAAGACATTTTCATTAGATCAGCCTTCTGATGAAAGGGGTAGTGGTTTTATGCCATTATGAAAAATGCTACTCAGATATTGACGGCTTAGGAAATAATTTCTTTATGCATTGTGGCCAGATTCGATTGCAGTGTTACAGCACAGGATGTGAATCTACTGGAGGGGGTGTAGATCCGAGAGTGGGAGATGTTGCAGAGCTATAAAGACAAGATGGACTCTGCCTAGAGGACAGGCAGGGACTCAAGGAGAGGATCACTAGGGAAGGTTCTGAGAAGAGTATATTCTAGGAAACACTGGAAATGAGTTTTAATCAAACCTAGAGAGATTTTGATTGGATGTATCTTGGCAACATGACTTAAGCAAAATAAAACACCATGACAGGGAGAGAGGTCTGGTGATTAACAAACATCTGTCCATCACAAACAGTTTGACCATCCAGCTTCCAAATAGAAACCAGAGGCCAGACCAGGTGATTTCTTGAGATCTTTCCCAGTTGTAGAATGTGGTCAAGAAAAGCAGAATCAGAGATGGTTAATTAAAAGGATATGAGGCTAGGCCCCTCCTTTGAAACTCTGCCACTCTTACCCATTGACCTGTCTGCCACTCAAGAGAACCAGCAGAAATTCCAGGCTAGTTCCAGGCTGAGTTCAGCTAAGTGAAGTGGGAAAGTATTTAATAGGCCCCAAGTCACTATGGAAATGTTAGTTGTTGTTATTAACAATCACTCATTGTTTCCCCAAACCCACTTCTTCAATCCTTTTTTTATTTAAAAATGAACAGCTTCTCCTACATTAGGACAGGGACTTGTTGAAGGAACTTTAAGTCTGGAATGTAACTGTGAATGTGATAGTTGTACTTTAAAGTTAAAGAGGGTCCTTAGCACTGATTTAGAGTTCAGTAATGATATTCAAGAGAGCAAGCAGTAGGGAAAATGCAGAGGGAAATGACTATTGCACCAAAGTGTCCTGATGTCTTTGCTCTTGTTTGCCCCAACACAGCACAAATTGACCCCGGAATATCTGGAGCTCAAAAGGTTTGAAGCCATTGCTTCTAACAGTAAGATCTACTTTGGCAACAACATCCCTAGCATGTTCGTGGACTCCTCTTGTGCTTTGAAATATTCAGATATTAGGACTGGAAGAAAAAACTCTCTCCCCTCTAAGGAGGCTCTTGAACCCTCTGGAGACAACCCTATCCAAAACAAAGAGAACACAGGTTGATGCAAGAGGTGGAAATGTTCTCCCATATCAAGATGTGGCCCGAGGGGTTAAGTGGAAATGATGGTTATACAACTCTTCAGATTTACAGAGAACTTGTGCTCTGTCTGTTCTGCCTGTTCTATGGTAGTCCTGGTTTATCAGCTGATTACAGAATAGAGCCAGCTGTCTGGCACCCAATGGTCTTTTCAGTGGCAGTTTGATCAAGTATCCTGTGAGTGTGCTTTCTAAACTGGTCCTCACGAAGGAGGGAAGGTCTGATGCTAAGATACTGCCTGCACTGGAATGTTAAACATTAAATATATAACAAGCTGTGTTTTTCTGAGCTAAGATACATTGAATAATGTTTACATTGGTCCCCTGGGAAATGTGTGCTCAGCCATTCAAGAGATAGGAGGCCAGAGAGAAGACGGCCAGGCTGTGGTAAGTGTGAAAATGACTGATTGCACCTGGGACCCAGACTCTTTGGGGTCCAATCTCAGCATTCATCCATGTGATTAGTCCACCGAAGTTTCCCAGGAAATGATCTTCCACTTGATCAACCATTTACTTGATACGACTTGCACCTTTTGTTTTCCTCCAGTCAAGTTGGTGGCCTGCTGCAACATGTACCTGCCATCCAACCAGATATTCCTAATCATTAGTTTATTGCTTTAGTAGGCTCAGAGATAGAGCATGATTTGAACTTTTGGGTGAGATGAAACCTTTGCTTTGAACCAAAGCTCTGGGGCCCTGCATTCCCCTCTGTTGGGCGATGACTGTCTGTGTTACTGCCCCAGGCCATGTGTGACTAAGGTGCCTGATTTTTAGCCACAGACAACTCCTATACGCCACCTCTCAGCTCTGGTTGGCCAAGAGTGGGGCAGGATTTTACCAGAAATAGCAGCAGCATAGATTCCTAGCTGTTCACTGCACAGTAGCATATCATTAACTGCAGGAAGTTTTTATTTTTAAAACTGGATTTGGGGTACAGTCATTTGCCCCAATACCTCTGCCTGAAGGCCAAATCCTAGGGTTGCCCAGGTTATTAGCACAACTGGTTCTCGTGTTGTTCATCAGGAGCCCACGTAGTGTGGAACAAAGTAAGTTAGAAAGCATCCGTGGTCATCTTTGTCCCCATCCTTCCTGGTCCTGAGGTGCTGAAATCAGAGTTGTTCTTCAACCTTCACCTTCCCTGGGTGATCAGGATTTCACTGCATTCTGGGCGGCCAGTGGACTTAATCTTCCACAGGAGGATGACAGAGTTAGTCTGTGGCTATGGGAGACCTATTTCTTCTGGACCTTTTTTCCCTTAAGGTGAACATTCCTGAAACTGTGTGTCTCATAGTTAGGCCTGAGTTTGTGTAGCCTCCTAAGACATTTTGGCTACATTGTGTTCAAGCCAAACAGAAGTCATGGGAGCACTCCCAGAAATCTTTGAGCTCTCAGTCCTGTCAGTCTCATGACAGTTTGTGAATTGTGCCAAACACTTTATATGAGAACAGAGCCCCAGTTTGAGTGGGTCTTTTCCCTAGGCCTTATACTAGAGAGGCATTTGTAATAGAAAATCATTTTTTCATTTTTGCTCATTTAATTATATACATTCTCTTTATGAATGGATTTTGTGTTCTGTAGCCCTCCTTAAAAGAACCTTGGAACTATAAAAACTCACCTGTCATATTGTTGCTGCAGATAAATAATGATTGTTGTGGGAAATCTGGATCATTGACCTTTGTGCTTTCTAGAGATTTTTCCTGTTCCCATGAGCTAAAAGCTGTTGCCCTAAAGTGATGGATGTGGGTTTTCTTAGAAGCTCTGGTGGCAGAGTTGAAAAACAGGAAATAGTGTTACGGTGTTTTAACAAAAGTACTTCCACTTAAACTCCCCATGGAGTGTGCTTCCCTGTGTTCACTCGAACTGTTAAGTTTATCCCTCCTTCAGGGATGTTCCTTTTGGCAAATACACACTGTAATCTTGAAGTCTAAATTTATATGTGAAATGCTATCTTTTTTAAAAAGAACTAAATAAAATTATTTTACTATCAGTGATTTTTTTCCATATGTGTTCATTCTTTTCTGTTGTCCTGAAATGCTCAAAGAGCTTTCTAGCCCATTTCAACCAGGTAGCTAGTTTATTAGGTTGACTTAACAGTATAACTTTCCTATGCTTTCTTATAACTTTCTTAGACTTTTTCCAGAATACTGCCTGCCTGCTATGCGTTTTGAAAGGAGGGTTTCCACTCCTCCTGACTCACAGAATTTAACAAGAGATGTTCTGATTCTTTGTGGGATGTGGCCAACAGCAGAGGAGGGAAGATGGAGCATAGTGCCCTTTGGAGATTGCGTAAGAGCTGAAATGCACAGAGAAAAGAGAGGAGGCAGTTACCCAAGGTGGAGGAAGGACAAACTATAAATTACAAGCGGCAGTGGTATAATGTAACTAACTTAACTAGTTCAGATGTTGGAAGGGGTGGACCCGCTCTTCCCAAGCTCTCCACATGCCCTCCTGGGAACAACTGCGTAGTGCTGTTGGGGCAGCAGGGCTTGTAATTGGAAGTTTGGGGGAAAGTAGTCCTTTACCTGGGTTCCTATGGGATCCAACTCCATAGTACCCTATATCTGCTGTGGACCAGGGAAATTTAGTTGGAACCAATTATCCTACAGGCTTTGGTAGTGTTAAAATGAGGTGATATATAATTAAGTGATTTCTGCTTCTTGCTGTAGGGAAGGAATTTCATGAATTAAAAATTGTGGCTTCTAATTGTTTAGGATTAGTCCCAAATACATACGTACAAGGCTTTTTGTGATCTGGCCTCCACCTGACCTGTAGCCAAGGTTCTTGAATGTACCTTCTCTTTCTCTGTTTGCACATTCTCCATCTGCATGATTCACTTTTCCTCCCTTATAGCTCCAGGTTTTTCCTTCACTCACTCCTAATGAGTCTTCACTTCTCAGAGAAGTCACCCTGAACCACTTGGCTCCTGTCAGCACTGTGCTTCCCCCTTTGCAACACCACATGCCTTGCATTACCTGTTTTCTGTTATCATAAAGGTTCAGCTATCTGAGGGCAGGGACTGCGACAGTGCTCTTCCCTGGGGGAATCTCTCTTGCTTAGGCCTAACATGGTATCTGGCCCTTGAATTAGTCAGTTTTGTTACATGAAAGAACAAGAGGATGGATGGGAAATGCATTTCCTACTAATGAATATGAGTAAAACAAGTGGGAAAAAAACATAGAACTTAGACTAGAGTGTCCATTTCAGGACTTATGTGTAACTATAGGAAGTTAATATCCCAACCTGTTTTTGCATCCATGTAGGACTTTTCAGTAGGTTCAGTGAGGTAGTGTTTATGCACTTAGCATAATAATTTGCACTACATGGTAATTGTTGGGGTATGTTCATTTACCCAGTCATAGGAGTCAACGTGTTTTTGTCTCTGAGTAGACTTAAGTTCTTGGGGTAAGTTCTTGATATATACAAGTGCATCATAAAATACATATTGAAGTAGGTCGTCCGCAGTCTGAGCTAAGCTAAGTGGATTTTAAACTTCAACCACAGTACTCCAGGAACATCTCAACAAGCTGGGCCACTTCAGCTTTCTCTTGGTCTCCTGTCTTTGCATAAGCATTTATCTTTTTATCCATTTTTCTACCTTCCATCTGCTACAGACTGAATGTGTCCCCCTAAAATTTTTATGTTGAAGCCCTAATTCCCTATGTATTTGGAGGTGGGGCCTTTGGAAGATAATTCTGTTGTGAAAGTGAAGCCCTCATAAGTGGAATTAGTGTCCTTTTAAGAAGGGATGTGAGAAAGATGTGTCAGCCACGTGAGTACATGGCAAGAAGGCACTCATCTGTAACCAGAAAGAGGGCTCTCACCAGACACTGGATTTGCTAGCACCTTGGTCTTGTGCTTCCCAGCCTCTGGAACTGAGAAATAATTTTCTGTTTTTTAAGCCACCCAGTGTATGGAATTTTGTTACAGCAGCCCGAACTGACAAAAACACCATTTATTTTTATTTCTTACCGTCCTTTTTCCCTATAACTATTGGTCATCTAGTATGTGCTAGTTGCTAAGACAACAGAAAAGCTTATAGCCCTGCGGGGTTCTAATTTGCATAGCAAATTAATAGGCAAGTTAAAATAGTGTGTGAGTACCACAGCAGGGTGGTCACAGTGCAGGAAGTACAAATGATAGTCAGCCCAGAGTTTTTAGATACACCATCAAAGGCATGGCCCATGAAAGAAAGAATTGATGAACTGCACTTCATTAAAATAAACTTCTGCTTTGCAAAAGGCATCTGAGAAAGGACTGTTATCCAAAATAGTACAAAGGACTCTTAACAATAAAATAATCTAGTTAAAAAATAGACCAGAGAGCAGACACCTCACCAAAGAAGGTAGGCAAATGGAAAATAAAGATAGGAAAAGATACTCCACATCACGTCACCAAGCCAGTGCAAATTAACATGAGATCACCATCACACACCTATTAGAACGGCCAGATTCAGAACACAGCACCAAATGCCAGTGAGGATGTGGAGCAGCAGGAACACTCATTGCTGATGGAAATATGAAGTGGTACAGCCACTTTGCAAGACAGTTTTGTCTTACAAAATTAAACATGCTCTTACCATATGATCCAGCAATTCCGTCCTTGGTATTTGCCAGTGAGTTGAAAACATGTCCATACAAAAACCTGCACACACAGGTTTATAGCAGCCTTATTCATATTTGCCCAAACTTGGAAACAAGATAACCTTCAGTATGTGATTGGATAAATAAACTGGTACATCCTGACAATAGAATATTATTCAGCACTAAAATGAGCCATCAATTCAGAAGATTGGAGACTGACGAGAATTAGGCTTGGGGTGGATTAATGATTGTGCATTGAGCATTGAGTCCCCTATACAGAATTTTATTGTTGTTAACCATTTGATCAATAAATATGAGAGCTGCCCTCTCAAAAAAAGAAAGAAAGAAAGAAATGAGCCATCAAGCCATGAGGAGACATGGAGAAACCTTAAGTGCATGTTACCAAGTGG